TGGACCATACAAATAAATTCTTGATGAAGCTTAATTAATAATATTTAGAACGTAATTAGAATTAATGATTAGTCATAATCGAATGGTAAGAAACAAATTAAAGTTGGGTGAATGAAGAATTATACGTTTGATTTGTCATTTTTCTGTCTAATCTTGTTTAAAGGCTACAAAATAGTCTCTAGGAAGCTGCTTCAAAGAACAGGTGTCTTGCCCTAATAAAAAATTGGACCATACGAATAAATTTCTTGATGAAGCTTAATTAACATCTATGTAGAATGTAATTAAATGGAATGATTAGTCAAAATCGGATGGTAAGCAACAAATTAGTTGGGTGAATGAAGAAGAACCATACCTTTTGATTTTTAATTTTTCTGTCTAATCTTGTTTAAAGGCTACAAAATAGTATCCAAGAAGCTGCTTCGAAGAAAATGTGCTTTGTCCTAATCAATCGTCATGTATGCATCATGTATATGTATATTAGCCTCTCTTTTTTCCCTTATAATTTAGCTAATTAATTACGTAATTTCCACAAATAGTTGTTTCTCATAATTAACGTGAAACATTTTAAACAGAGGCACGCAGACAAATAAAGACCAAAAGGCCCATTTTCTACCACTATGAAAGTACCTTTATATAATGGTCAATTTGATCATGTCAAGCCAAAAGGATTTCCAAATTTACAATGACTTTTTACAAAATGCAATCCATGACCAAATTCATTTCCTCATGTAAAGCAGTTTCAGAAAAGCAGTGCAGGCTTCCCTAAGAATTAGTGTATTTGACTAATTTTAATATATCTGTTTATTTTTATTGCTTAGTTTAATTAGTTCCAAGAAACTTCTTCATATGAACCAAAAAAAAAACCTTTTCATTTTCAAAATTTTTAAGATTTTATCAGATCAAACGTATATTTGAACCCGAAAAAAGAAACAGAAAAAGAAAGAAAGCAAAAGAAAAAGAAAAATAACGTAAAATTAAATAGTTCTACGAAAATTCAGGTCGTTCAACCTTGGCTACGTACTTGATTCTCCCTGCCGCCCTACAGAAACTTCATGTTGACTTTTAAAAAGTTTAAATTAAAAAAAAAAAAAAAGACCAACAAAATATAGGGCTAACTCAAACGTTTTGGCTTCATTTTCCAAATTTGCCCCGTGCTCTATTAATCAAGAACAAGGGGAAATTATAAGAAAAGAAAAACTTCCATGTTGATTTCTATAATTTTTTTTATCCCACAAAAATGGTATCATCGGGGTAGATTCTACGTCAATCGAAACTTTCTTTTCGGATGATTTAAAAATGTGCTCTCTCCATCGATTTTATAAATTAGACAAATTTAATAAATTTTATGGTTAAAATAAGTCAATAATGACTTTTTTTTTAAAAAAAAGAGCATAAATATATTAGAAATGCTACTTGAAATTCTCAATCTGCTCACACATTTAAGATCTTAAATATATATATTTTTAATTATATCCACCATATTTTCTTTTTAAAAATTAAAAATTCACAAATAAATCACTGTATACGCTGATTATGATTACCATTGAAAAATATTAGTAAATCACACATAAACAAGTGTCTCCATATAATTATTAATTTCTTGTTATTTTAGGTGTACCTAATTGGTCAAACTATGATCACTATTCTACACAAACAATACGTCTTCTCGAAATAGGTATCTTGAAATATTCCTGATAAATGATAGATATAGATTGGTGACATTTTCAGAGAATAGTGGACACTGCCCGTTCATCCAAGGTGTTATAGATAAGGAAAATTATTAGGCTTAGCTCATCTTACTTTGAAATTCAAAGATTGAATATTGGAGCATTTAAAAAACTTATAATAATTAAACATAATTGATTGCTAATTTTCAATTTTTCAACACCATGATTATAATTATTGAGTTTGTGGAATACAAAAGAGCGTACTATATATCCCTTCGATCTTGTCATGTTATAGGCCCCAAGATGGATCATAAATTAAATCTTATTTTTTTTATTTGTTCTTTTCATGCTTCTCTCTCTCTATATTTTTTTTTTGAAAAAAGTCGTTTTTTTTATCAATTGATTAGAAAAGCTGAAATGTGGCATTAAGTAACTTGTTTTTAATTATTATCAATTCTTAAAAAAAAAACATTTTAATATATATCAATCTAATTTGAAAATTTAAACCCTGGTAATAATAAGATAACACAATAATACATACGTATGCAAGCATAAATTATTTTATTTTTTTGATACGTCGAGGATTGAAATAGTGAAAACTATAAACTATTAGTAATTAACTAATCTCCTAACATGTGTTTTAAAAATGGCACACATTAATCTTATTAGATCTGAATTGTCAATCAAATTGCAACAACATGTTAATCAATTGTTATGTATAAAATTTTGAGCTTATTTTTCATTTATTGGATTGAGAGAGTAGCACTTGAGCAGTTTCCTAGATACCTTTCGTATATAATACAAGAAAAAAGAAATTTTCTTCAAAGAAAAACCTAAATCAACGATGCAGAATCAGTCAAGTCAAATGACTCAGAATCCATTATACATTAAGTCCACCTACATAATTTCCAAAAAAAAAATCAGCAAAGTAAAATTTTCCATTTACAAAACACATGACCTTAGAAGTCCTATATCTTGGACAAGACCAATGCACTACACTTTGTTCCCGATTAATGATTTTCAAGTGGCATCATATGCTGTACTCTTTATCTTATCTCAACTATAGCATAAAGATAGTCACCTTTCTCTCTACCTTGTCAGCTTTAGTGGCACGTAGAATGGGTTTTGAGACCCCATGACCTCACTATTCTTCGACAATACAATAAACAATTGATCAATTTTGGATCATTGACATCTTTACAATATCACCATGCCATGTGGGTATTATCATTTGTGTAAGTTTGTGTCGACCCCAATACCACATTAAAGTCAGCTTTGTGCTATAATTGGTTTGTCAACCTTTTCAATTTGGTTAACGAATTTAGGTAAGACCTCAATCACCTTTAGATATGATTACAAGTAGAAAAGAGCAAATCACACAGAAAGTTAAAAGAAACTGTATATATATATATATATATATATATATATATAGCTGTAATAACAATTTGTGAATAATATGAATGACATATATCGTTATTTGGGATATTAACATAGTGGTGTAAACTGACAATGCCATCCCATCTCAAATATTGCTATAAACTACATATCACCCAAACTTATTTATGCATTAATACATGCATGCACTAGACAGAAAGATAAAGACTGCTACATAACGTATACATACCTATCTTTTTTGGGTTTCTATATTGCTCTATAGGTTATAAAATATTGAGCATTTTTTGTTATACTGACAAGTGGCATAATGGGTCTGATGATGATGATGGAGATGATGATTTAGTGAAGCTCCAAAGGTCATTCTCGTTGCTATACACTTGAGAAGAATTTGCTTGAATGTTTGATGATGATCTTTGGGAATGTTGTAAGTGTGATAATTGCATGTCATCATCAGGAGAAAGACCAAAACTTCCATTGGGGTCAGTACTAAAGCAAGACAATTGCTTGGATGTCTCTACTTCATGCCCATTAAGCTGTGATGCAACGAGACGATCAAGGGTTACCCAATCGTTGAGTTGCCCGGATTTAGAGTCATCAATGACTGCTGATGAGGTCATGTCGAAAGTGCCATTGCCAACTTGGTTAGGAGACGAAGGTTCATTCTCTGTCAGCATCTCATCGTATGATTGATGATAACAAGATTTGAAACTTCGGTCTTGATCAAAAGATGGACTGCTGATTGGAATAGAAGGGAGTGTTGGGCTGTCTAGTCGAGGAAGGTGCATGAATCTTTCATGGAGTCCTTCGCTGATGTTATTGTTTGAGAGAAACCTTAAACTACTGTTGTTGCTGTTGTTGGAGATGTTCATGTTGCTAAATGTTTCATTCTCCATCTTGCAAGTCCTTCCCATATAGAGAAGTATTTGATCAAGAACTCCATCTCCTGCACCAAGAATCTGTTGAGCCTTTGAATCCAATGAGCTTGATGAGCCTTTGGGACTCTCTAGGGTTTTTTGATAGTTCTTCTTTCTAAATACCCGGCAAACCACCCAACCTTCTTCAGGGATTGCATCTCCTATAGGATTAGAAACCTGCAGGATTCAGAGAGTAGTAAATTAAAATCAATACCATGTAAGCAAGAACTGATCAATATAGAAGAAATACACTCTTTTTTTTATACAAATACATGAAAAAGGGTACGAGATCTAACATTTGAGTTGTGTTTTATCACAAAAAAAGAAAAAAAGAAGGTAGAATTGTTTAATTTTCGTCTTTGAATCAACTTCACTTTTAGTTTTCAGGAAGGTATATACTTTTCCATAGAAAAAGCAAAAAGAAAAAAGAAAAAGAAAAAATACAATAAGACAAGAAAAGATAAGAGCATAGGATCACCAAGCATATAAAATAATTTTTTTTTTTTTTTTGACATACATATTGAAGACTCATAGGAGAATTAATCAGCTAAAATTTAAATCCATGATCTTTTATAAGAGGCGATTATACTAGAAACTCTTTGGTCATATAAAATAAAATTAAATAAAAAGAAAATGGCTTACATTAGAGTCATGGGTGTTATCATCAAGCCTATATTCATGCATGATCCAGTCAGATTTCTGTCCATGTGGAGCTCTTCCTTTGTAAAACACAAGAGTCTTTCTCAATCCAATTCTTTTAAACCCACTATAGATGATCTTATCACGGCCAGTGGCCTTCCAAAATCCGGCAGCCGTAGCTCGATTTGTTCTAGTCCCTGTGGGATATTTCTTGTCTTTGTGACTGAAGAAGTACCAATCATTCTGTGGTGTAGATCCTATCTTGCACTTCTCTGCATAGTCCCAAAGGAAAATTTGGTTAGCCAACAAGTTTGGAAAATAGGAAAACGAATTATGCAAAGAAAGATATAAATGGAGAGATCACACTGCGTCTCACAAAATTTACCTTGGATATCCCATGGCTCAAGCTTATTAAGATCAACCTCACGAATCACATCAAGGTCTATCTTCTCATAAGCAACTTTCTTCCTGAGGTAGTAGTGAAGAAGCTCCTCTTCTGTTGGGTGAAATCTAAAGCCTGGAGGGATCTGAGACTGGCCATTTATTGATAGATTCATCACATCATCAGGCATTATAGCTTGGACAAATATTTATTGTACCAAGCTAGGTAGGGATGCTTGAATATATATGATCAATGTACATGTAAAAGAGAAAAAAAGAGAGAATAATAGCTAGAGATCAACATGAAAGAGAAACAGAAATGATCAGAGACAACATTAACCAAGTGTGTTAAGGAGAGAGGGTGCGTAAAGGGTAATGCAGTCATGATAATTTATAATGGTTTGTAGGACATGTGAGGGAAGGGTCCAAAAATGCATGAAAAGTTTTGGAATCAATGCCATTATTGTACTTTGTGTGGGGTCTAAGCCTTGGAGAAGAGCCAACCACCTAGAAGTAGAGACTAAAGGGAGAAAGAGGGTAGGGTTTTTCAGGCCCACAATATAGGTACTAACAATTGGGTCCATCCAAAAAAAAAAAAAAAAAAATGCGTTACAGATAACTATTTGTATTTGTATGAGCAGGGGGCAAGCCACCATCTCAACTACGACCCATGACCTTAATATCTATTTGAAAAGCACCTCTAAAACCACCACTATCCTCTAAAAAATCTCTCTTCTTTTCTCACCCCAAACATCACTCGTTTTACTTGTGCAACCACCTCAACGACAAGAAGGCATGAGAGAGATGATGGGGTCGGGAGGCACTTAGCTTTCATGGTCCCAAGAGGAAGAAAGACATGATGGGCTTTGTGGAGACTCAGTAATTTAATTTCTACATTAATTTTTCCCTACCTTTCACTTTTTTATTCAGATTTTATCATTGTAGTCACCAACTGCGTGCATCATGGCACAAGCACAAGAATGTTATGAGAGTGATCGATGCTCAAAGGAGGGGAGGGGGTAGTAATTAAATTAAATTAATATCCAAAATTAATACAAACCAAATGTGCATGCACTTAAAAAATATATTAAGTAATGCTAATGCTTCTGTATATATCAAGAATTTTTGTATATAGATTATAATTTACAACCACATGCATGCCTTCAAAACATTAACAAGAACGGCTACTGGAGTCCAAGGGGAGTCCTACAGAATGCTAGCTCATGTACCGACAAAATGGTGAAAGAGGACTCTCTCTTGTAGATCTTCATTTTCCTTTCTTGAACTTATTATATTTTCCCTTTCCATGATTGTACATGGCAACTGCTGAATCTTTCATTGGAAAAAAGAAAATCCGATCTTCCTCAAGAGTCAAGATGGCAACCACTAATAAAAAATTGGTGAGAAAGGCAGCCAGTAAAGCTTTCCCATTTTTTCTTTCATAGAATACAAGATAGAAATTGTCTATGCCTTGTGATACAATGTTATAATTTTAGCTCAAGCATACTAAACTGAAAAAATTATTTAATCTAATATTTTCAAGGATATAAAGTTAATTTACTGCTATGTTTTTATAAGTTGAAATTCATTAATAAACGATAAAAAATGTAGAAGAGGCAAGAATAAGGAAATCAATAGTAAGAACCCCCACCACTTCAAGCCCACGTGAATTCAATTACTGCTATCACTAGTTAATTTAGGATCAAAACCATCATGCATGGAAGAGATAATTTTTTTCCCCAAGGCATTCGCATATCATATTAGAGATATAACTAATTTTATTTGGACGAAAACGACAAGATTTTAACCCCTTTTAATAAATACAATTTTAAAATTTAAACCTTGCATATTAGTATAAGCTTCGTTTAGGGATTAGCTTACTTACTACTGAGTTAACAACTTAATGATATGTAAGAGATAATTTTGTTTAGTTAGTAACTAATAACTTGACGCTTTTATGACTAGCTAGATATAGGATAATGTAAGCATCAATAATTAAATTGCCTCTGTTAAGTGCAAATTAAGGTGTGCAAAAGAGCATAATATTTAACATTTAATCAGTTCTTCATACCTTATTTAATAACCTAACCTTTGAAATTACCACGATTTTTCTTTTTTACAATATGATGAATACGAAATAAATTCAGTGCATGAATTTATAAAAGTTAAGGTTACTAATGGCCCATAATAGGGAAAACTCATGGCAAAGATCTTTACGTAATACCGAGGCTTGTCCAAAAAAATTCATAACAGAGATGGGACCAGATATATGGTACCAGTCTTATTAACTTGACATTCCTTCTACAGGGACATCAAAGTGTCACACAACATCCACCATAAACCCAGAGATGTAAATCATTTATCAAAAAAGGAAAATTATCAATTAGAAGCATTCCCCAAACAATTTGAGCAATCGGGCCACTTTTTTTATGAAACAGACTGAAATAACGTTGGACAATGCGTGTTTCTCTCTAAGACAACAATGGTGCCTGTGTAGATGCATATTGTTGCTTCCATTATTGCCTGCAGACAACTGTTTTGCTTTCTTGTTACCTTCACTCAACTTAATTAAATATGCTAACCTGTCTTTCGTATGCACAAACACACAATTATTGACCAACCAAATTCGTTACAAAATTGATAGTTATAAGAGGGAAATGGACATTGGTACGTACGAACATGTTGCATGTCCGGACTTGATTAATTTTCATGTATAATATTTGAACATATGTGTCGGCATGTCTAAAATAAAAGTGCTGAATATTTTATAACTAATACTATAAACTAATTCGAGAATTATTTGGATCCTCACATGCGCTTATATAATAGAACATTATTTCAATTCAAAAATTTAGACATTTGTTTTTATATATAAAACCTCAAACTTTTCATTTATAATTCATGTGAGATTTTTCACACGCATGTGAAACTTAATAAATTTTTCATTCATATAAAAATATTCTCTCATCCATATCGAAAATCACTCTCCCTCAACATAAATATCTTCTCAATCTAAATGTAGCCTTACTACTTTCTTACTCAACTATATAAGGTATAATGTACACTTGTTCAATCATTGAGTAATAACAATGGAAATTCAACCTACTATGTTGTGTTCGTTTCAGCCAAATCATTGACTCTCATAAAATTAGATAGTTAAGATTGAGTTTCATCCAACAAACTTAAACCTTATATATTAATAATTTTTTGTTTAATTATTCAATGTTAAATGTATACTCTAACACTCTCCTTCACTTGCGGATCACCTTTTGGGGTTTATCGAGCGATTTAGACTCTAGATTCTTATTTGGCCCGTAGATCTTTTTGAGATTTTAATATCATATATAATTAGATAGTTAAAATTGTGTTCTATTCAAAAGGATTAAGTTCTATGATAAATGATCCTTCTCAATTTTATATATGAATCATCTTTGATTTAGTTATAAAATATGTGCTCTAACAACTCTAATCTATCCGTAAAAAGATCTGTATTGGAAAGTCATTTATATCAACAATGGGTGACAGCAATGAAAATTCAACCAACCATGCATGTGGCATTCGTTTCAGCGAACGATTGACTCTAATTCATTTGTAAAAAGATCTGTATTGAAAAGTCATTTGGACGGACATATGAAGGTACCGTAAAGTATAGATATGATCTATAATTTACTATTGTTTTAAATTTATCAAAGCGATTTAGGAAGAGAAATAATTAAGATCACGAAGAAGCAACATGAAAGAACCTTAGTGGAACACAATCGCATGTCATAGGAGGGAGCACCACCAAGTTTTCATTACAGATCCTGATGTCATCCTTTGTTGTACATAAAGTTAGGAATCCCTAATTGCCCTGGTATTATAAGAAATTGATGAATCCAATTCTGTGCATCGTCTTTATCAGGCTTAATGAAGTGGTACTGTGACGATAACTACTACTCTTTAGGACCAAATAAACTTTATTAACAAATTTATTTGGTACAATAAAAACTCATTCATATAAGAAAAATGAAAACCACACGTTACCAAAATGTGTAAGAAATTTGTGGTTTCCTAACCTATTCTCTGGCAACAAAACAAAAGATTTCATCAACATAATAAAGATTACGACGAGGCCATAATCCAAAAATTATATTCAATTCAAAATTTAAATTACCAGGTAAGTTCCCCATATGGAATTCTATCAAAAAGTTTAAACTTTTACAGAAGGTTTCCACAAATTTGCCACTATATATATATATTTTTTTTTCCTAAAACTCAATTATAAAATATATAAGAGGTAGTGCCACGATTGGAATTCTACAATCAATTGATTAATTAAGGACTATTTCTAATCCACAAAAGGAAAAGAAAGTTAAAGAATTATTTCTTTACAAAAGGCAAAGAAAGTTAAAGAATTATTTAACCTAAAAAGTTATGACGAGGAATTCTAATCAAATTAAATAATTATTTAAACTGCTTTAAGAATATTGTATATAATCAAGAGAATTTTTCAAATGTGAAAAAAAGAAAAAGAAAATAATGAAAAATGGCTTGGGTATAGTGTATGATATATAGGAAAATTGCTTTAGAAATATTGTAATCAAGAGAATTTTTCTAAAAAAGAAAAGAGAGATAGTGGGGCTTGATTATGTGATCACTTGTATTAACCAGTTGAAGTCAATCCCCCGTTTAACTAACTAAGTCACTAAAATTACTACCCTTTTTTCTTTGCCACTGATGTGACCAACACTAGTACTCCAAGTAAATTATATATAAATTAATCTCTCTAGTTTTATAAAATGCATTAAATGATCCATTTTATTTTAAAAACTAATTAATTAGTCCTTTGATCAATATTGATAATAATTAAGGTAATATTATTTTGTTTCAAAAAAAAATTTATTTTATAATCAATCTTTTTATATTTTTATTTTTTTCTATTTATTAAAAAATAAAAAAAATAAGTTATAAATAGATTTAAAAATACAAAAATCAATTAATTAGTTATTAAAACTAGAGAGACTAATTTATAATTTACTACTAATTAATACCCCCTTACAAATATTACCATTGATGATGGCATGCATTGAGTAAGCAAAGAGACTAAAACACACAGTCTCCCTATCTTTTTCACCAACATATACACACTTTAGCCACTTGCTAACACCATATTTGTGGTGATTATTACATTGCAAGATTAATGGGCATCTCTCTTATCTCTCTTTTTCATATAACGGTACCACTACTAGCTAGCACTACATCAAAAATATTCTGTTATAAGGTCCTTGTGTGTCTCATTTCTAATCATGATCGTTATTCCTCCAAATTCTATTCCTAATCATGATTTTGGCCAACAATTGACGGAGCAACCACTTCTTTTACTAACCAGCACACCCCATTATATCCTCCTCTCTCCCTACCACACCTTACATGTTGTTGTGGTTGGTTGTAGTTGAGAAAAAAAAAAAAAAAACTATATAATTCTATTTCTCTAATATTTCTTTCAAACCCATGTTGAAAATAGATTCATATCTTCTTTCAAATGACGTGGGTTGTGACGATTGATCAATTCTAGAAAAGACATGGATGGTGCAAGAATATTAATTGAATAAATATGTACAAGACTTCCAAATTATGTGCATGGTAGAAATTTGGTGGATGATTTTTAAGTTTGCATGAGACGCAATGTAAAGGAAACATTTCTTTTGTCGAAAAAAGTTGGCGTTGTAGCTTGTGACGCAATATATGTTTGTAGGAAGACGTACGTGGATGACTACTAATATCATATGGAATCTTATATATTAAATTTGAAAATCCAATTAAAGAAGAATTTAATTAATTTCAATTGTGAGAAATAAATTAATTTCTTAGTAATGCACTAATGCTCGATAATTGTCTAATTAATGTGTTTTGTTCATTATATTGCTTCTCTCTTTTTTGAATTGAATTGTTTTGATTGAGATTTTTTTGATTGAGTCTTTTTACTCTTTATTATATTATATTTTAATCTTTCTTGTATAACATCGCTAGTTGTAAGCTGATATAATAATGACATTTCTAAAATATGATACGTGTCATATCTAGGACTACAATAGAGGGACTTAATTAAAAATAATTCAAAAAGTATGATGTTTCGATCAAAATAATTTAAAGAATTCATAGATTAAATTTTTATGTTTTTTTCTTTTTTAATTTTTATATTATTGTGTTTTTAAGACATCATCTTGAATGTGAGAAACATGTCATATGTAAGATGCTATCACGAGTAAAACTCTAAAGAGATTTTTTATTAAAAAAAAAATTGCATAAAAATTTAAAAATAATAAAATACATACAAAATAAATCTGACATGCAATTCAAAAAATAGTGTATAAATATGTTTATCAAAATTATAATAAAAAATAGTAATGCTCACTAATAGCTAATTAATTATGTTTATCAACAAAGAAAAATTGTGGTGCGGTCTCAAGTCGTATTGAAAGAACAACCCCCCTTTTTTTTTAATCAGTAAAATATTAAGAATTTTTTTATTTTTTATTTTTACGGAGGATTAAACTTATTAATTAGAGGTCTATGATTGATCGATATTACACATCACTAAATTTTTTGTTCTAATAATTGCATGTTATGTTTCTTTATTTTATTTTTTTCCATATTATTTTATTATTTTTAAATTATTATAAAAATATTTTAAATTTTTACTTTGACAAGGTCTCACATATGACACATTTCATACATTTATTATGAGATTTTAAAAAATAACATGAAAATTAAATAAAATAAAAATTTGATATATATACTTTTTGAATTGTTTTGATTGAAATATTATATTTTTTGAATTGTTTTTATTAAGTTTTTTTTTTTATTAGAGTATCATGTATAACACATATCACATTTTCATAAATAAATATACCACATCACCACCACATCAAACGGCCTTATAACCAAAGAACGAAACTAAACAAAATGAATAATAGCTCGGTCAACACACACAAAAAAATGTATATGATCTCAATCAAATTAATTTGAAAAATAGAAGGATTATATATAGATAAAACTTATTGATTTTTTCCTTCTTCGAATGAATTTCTTAGTCATGATGATGAGATATGTGTGTGTGTGTGCGCGCACGCCTAGGGTTTCGATTATATTCCATTTGATTTTTAATTTTTTTAAAGAAATATTTTATCTCGTCATTCGATCAATTTTTTCAACAATAAATAAATCTGTTGATCGAAATAGGTTTTACTACAATGTAATTAAAAAAAAAAAAAAACTTAAAGCCATGAGACTTGCATGTTCCATTTTTGAAGTGTTTAGATTTTAATTTTATTTTAATTTTAATTTTTTTTTCCATTTCAATCAAGGGCATTTTGATCAAAAAAATATTATCGAAAAATCGATCGAAAAGATAGATTGAACCTTTTAAAAAATTTCAAAATAGATAAGATGCAATAAAAAATTTAAGGATAGATAAAAGATTTTCAATATTGTATAAGGACATATTGATATATTTACCCTTAATTTTATAGAATTTAATAAACAGTACCATGTGAATTCAAGTGGCTAGTTTAGGCATCAAAGGGATTGTACGTATAATGTAAACAAACAAGAAAACTCAAATTGCTCAACCAGATAGGTAATAATATAGTGTTATTATGCTCAACGAGTCAATTATAGAGTCCAATTTGACTAATGCAATTTGTTGGCTTAGCGAAGATCGATGCTGATAGTAGTCCTTGATGACTTCATTTTTTTTTTAATACTATCTTTTCTTTAAAGATTAATAGTTTAATCTATTATTTTATAATAAATTAATTTTTAATATATTTTTAATTGAATTAATTTAATTCTTGAATATACATTAAATTTTCAATCAATCCTTTTGTTAAGATTTTTATGTCAAACTATCGAAATTATTCATATAATTTTAATATAATTATGTTTTTCTCAAAATACCCTAACAAACTAGTCAAATAAAAGCCAAATCGTATGATTAATTCTAGTTGTTTTGATTGAAAATCTTATTAAAAAAATATATTGGACATTTCATATATATTTAAGAATAAAATTAATTCAATTAAGAATATAAAGACAAATTAAAAAAATATTCTATTATATAAAGACAAATTAAACCATTAACTCTTTCTTTAATTAAGACTTTAAAATCAATAATTTTTTTCATGTGGGTGAAAATAAATGGTTAGCTGATAATTTAGCAAAACAAAACATTGAAAGAGGATAGAATTTTTGGCTTGGTTGTAGTTTCCTTCTCTCTCTAACTTTGTAAGTCTCAGCCACAATTGGCTAGTCTTCTTAAAATATTAAGTGATAAATTAATCCCTTAATTTAGTTTTAAGAAACAAATTATTTAGTCTTTTTGTTTCCAAAATCATTATTTAATTTTTTAATCATGTTGATTGTGCTTAATGTAATATTTTTTTATTATACTAAAAGTTTTTTTCATCAATTTTTTTATATTTTTTATTTCTTAAAACAAAAATTAAAACAAATAAAATAAATAAATAAATAAGTTATAAATAGATTTAAAAGCATGATGACTAAATAATTAGTTTTTAAAATAAAAAATAATTAATTTATTTCTCAAAATTATCGACTAATTTATAATTTACTCTAATATATTAAACTCTCATAAAAAAAAGATAATGATGTAGCCTGTCATAAAAAATGATAAAAAATAAAATATACTTGGGCTTAAATGCTTAATTGTATTTTAATTTAACGATATATTAGAATCTGACAACAGTGAAAAGGAGATGATTAGAATCTGACAACAGTAAAAAGAAAATCGAATGTTGCTAAAAGACGCGACCATGTTGCTTTCCCATTATCTTCTTTGGAGTTATTAATTAATTTGATAGCTCTCTATTAAACTTTGAGCTGCTCAATTAATCACATGGTTTTGCAAATTCTATCATTCCGTTGATCACAAAATTTAATTTTTTTAAAAAAGATTGTAAGAGATTTATCTAATTCATTTTTTTTGTACTAAACAAATATTAAAATATGTTTAATTTTTAATCAACCATAGTTAAATCAGTTCAAACTTAATATCATTAAAAAATAATTATAATTAATTACTTATAAATAATAAAAATTAAATTTTAATTTTAGTTAAATTTAAAATAATCTTTTATCATTGGATCGTATCTCTTATTGGTGATTTGATTATCCGTTGCACATATTTGACTAATCCTTTTAATAGAACTAATTTGGTTATCGAATCGACGATCTCCTTCATCACTAAACTCCCCTTCTTCTCTTGCAATAGTTGAATATAAGAATTATATCATAAATAATCTCAAATCTCACGCACTGGATTGTTCCTTACGAACTCCAACTAAAAATGGGAAAAGGAAATATTCGTCCCAATAATTATCACGACATTCCAACTTTGTTCCCGAACAGAAAAAAAATCCCAATTTGAACCTCATTTATCCATCAAACATTACCTAATTAACCCCACCAAATGATATTTATAGCATAAAAAATCATTTTAAGACAAAAAGATCCTTACTTTTTATGATTTTAAAGGAGAAAAATTCAAGGAAGAGGATGAATTATTTGTAATATCCAATAAATGGGTGACCCAATTGAGAGTTTCTATTTGTGTGAGGATCCTATTGAAATTGAATGATAATTGGAGGATAAATATGTTCTTTGCCTATGACAAAAAAATATTTTTGCAGCAGCTGTCCTGCCCGCTTCCTCAGTAAATTGTAATTTTATTTTTATTGTCTTGAGAAATAAATTAATTATTCTTTTTAGTTTTAAAAAACTGATTATTTAGTTTTTTTTACTACAGTTGACTATGACTAATTTAATATTTTTTATTTTATAAAATATTTTTTCATCAATATATCTTTTCATAATTTTTACTTATATTTTATTCTTTTTTGTTTTTATTAAATAACAAAAGGACTAAACAATTAGTTTGAGACTAATGCATAAATTACTCCCAGCCCGGAAATTTTGGAAGAAAATCATATATAATGTCGTTGTGTGTACTAATTACAAAACAGCTTGTCATTAAATTTAGGGTTAGTGAGGTTTACATTCATGTGAAAAACATCAAAAACATTTTGGAAAAGACTATGGAATTAAGTATTTCCCGTTTGACATTGAAGAAAGAAACAATAAAGTAGATTTTTCTTGTCAATTCCATTGTTAATTAATGATATTGATCATAGGTTGTCACAGGCAAGGGTGTAACCGTGTAAGGCCCCATTTTGCCAACTAAAGATTTTGATTAAAGATGATTTAACATCAACAACAACCAAATTAATTGATGAAGCTTCTATAATTAAAGAAGAGAAGTACAGTTCTCCTAAGCCAAATCTTGATAAAGCAGCTTTATAAAAGAGGCCATGATCGATCATAAGGCAATTATTGTTCAATTATTTTTTTATTTTTTTTCGTATGCAGCTAATATAGGGACCCTAATTAAAGACTAATGACAACTTGACAAGAAGACTTTTTTTTTTCATTTCCTTGCTTATAAATTCTAATGAATAATTAAGTATTACTAAAAAAATAGATGTATACTATCAACAAATTGTTGACCTAGTGATAAACTAGCTGGCCTCTAAATCGGATTCGAATTTTGAAATTATATTTATTAAAATAAATTAAATATTATCGTTTTCATTTTAAACATAATTAGTCTTATTTTCAACGTGGGATTGATAGAAATACATGAAAAAAACCAAATAAATAAATAAATAGATGTATAATACTTATAATTTGTGTCAAATGGACAATTGTTAAGCCTGTTTAAGGAGTAGACTTAAATAAAAAATAGTATGTGTGTATGCAAAAATAGAAAATAATATTTTCAAGTGCTTTATGTTTTTAGAAGTTCACTGGTGAATATGTAAACAATAATTGAAAATTAATATTTCAATTGTGATACAAAAAAACTTAATTTCCACATAAATTCACGTTCAGAGGTATACTTACACACCAGTCATAGCAAAAATAAATAGATAATATATATAGCTTAATATATTCTCATATAATTAATTAAATCACTAATAAATTTTTAATTTTTTAATTGAATCTATTTTTTCCTTACATAATATTTAACCTAATATATCTTGTTCTTAATTTTTTTTTTAATCATAAAATATATACATTGATCACACCGTATATACGAAAAGGATGAAAATATAAAAACCACATATTAAGCTTCTTCTTTTTCTTGATTTTTTTCCCTCTTTCTTTATTGATCACGTAGTTGTAAGAAGGAAACCTTAATTTCTTTATTGATCTTTTAATTAAAATTAAAAATTTTTCTTTCTTTATTCTTTTAATAAAAATAAGGTAGAATTTATTTTTTTTATGATAAGTAGGGCATTTTGTAGTTAACTCCAATTTAACAAAAATGGAAACATTTTGTTGAAGATTAATTCCTAGCTATGTACCTACCGTTAATTTTGTGGCTGGGGTTGTTTCAAATTTCCATTGCATCTCCTACCTACCGCTAATGGCTTAAAATAAATTTAGCGTGTATATCCTTTTCTTTCCTTTTCTTGTCCATTCCACACTTTTGAACTTTACAAATAATAATAATAATAATAATTAAAAAAAAAGGAAGAGAAAGCAAGTTTCCAATTCCTAGTGAAGATCATGAATAAAAAGAAATTGACTTCTAGGGCACCTTGTCGATCGACTTGAGAACAAGAAACAATAATTGTCACCTTACTTTAATTACAATAATAATAATAATAATAATAATAATAATAATAATAATTCACATTGTTTTCATTTTTTAGCTGGTTGATATATTGGTAACTTGAACCAGTTCCAATATTTCTTTTTCACTGAAAAAAAAAAAAAACTGATGCAATCATTATTTTTTATACCATGAGCTTAATTTTACTTTATGGGCGATAGCTAATTCTTTTTCGCATTTGCATTTTTCATCCGTGTGTGTGTGTGTGTGTGTGTGTGTGTGTGTGTGTGTGTGTGTGTGTGTGTGTGTGTGTGTGTGTGTGTGTGTGTGTGTGTGTGTGTGTGTGAGATAAAAAAAATTAAAAATTAATGTAATAGATTTAATTTTAATTAATACATAAGTTGACTTGATAATATTTTACCATCGAATAAAAAAAACTAATGGAAAACAAATAAAATGTGCATGTTGCCCTTAGCTAGGATATTTGGCATTTTTTTTTTTTTTTTAAGTCAGGGCTCTGAAACATTTTGTTGAGGGACATGACAAGCTGATGGCATATCTAATGGTTAGTCTATTCAAATTTCAAACCGAGGCAGCTTTTTCAACAACGTTGGCAAGTCTAAATCCGGCCTAGAAAGGCTTAGCATTTTTAGATCAGTTGCACAAGATTTTTTTTTAATAAATAAATTAAAACACCGCCTCGAGTTTAAAGCAAACTATCCACATTCTGATTAGGGAATTTTTATAAAAAAAATTATTTTTCATAACCTAACTTTAGGTTAAATTAACTCTAGCAGACATGAAGGGTTAGAAAATAATATGCATTATATGATAGAATTTTATCTAACAATTCAAATTTTTATATTAGAATAGTTTTTTGACATAGTATAAGAAATTTAATAACTAAATGATTATAAGTCTAAATCTCATAACTCACATTCTTTTAAGTAAATTAAAAATTAAGCATAAAATAGTAGTGAATCTATATAAATTTCTAGTTCAAATTAAAGACTTGAAGATACTAAAAAAGATATATTAAAAAATAATATAAATTATTCATTAATTTTTTGTATTGAAATGATTTTTTAACATGAAGATAGCATATTTCATCAACCTCAAAGTACTATTAGATTAAAATCCTAAGGTAATTATTTTACCCGTACGCAAAATGAAGATTTTGACCTATATATATTTATATATATGAGCATGCCAAAACCTGTTTTGAATGCATATATTGACCTCATGGGAGGTAGACTACCTAAATGACCGGTTGCAAGAAGAATCAACCATCTTGTACGAAGAAAATGATATTGTCAATGTGCATGACAATATAATTTCAACTTGATATATATCTAGAAGTGCAAGATAAATATGTATGCATGCATGTTCATGAGCAAAAACCCATGTCATCATGAAGCTGCTAGATTTCTTCCTTTACGGAAAGCATCTTTTTTTGCTTGTTGAAAAACTTCTTAAACTTTGGTCATATTTCACGTGCAATTTTCTTGAGAAAGATTATCAAGTCTTTTCAAAAAAGAATATTTTGATTAAATTGAGTAAACACCAAGCAGATGCATATAGACTTTCATTAAACTTCTCCCTTATGATTTCTTTGCGTTTCTGAAAGAGATTCTCTGAACTAATATCAATTATATGTACATTAGGTAGGGGAAGGGGAGGACTATCTAGCTAGATGGCTGTGACCTCATTCGTAACGTTTAATTACAATCAATTATTGTGGAACGTGCGTTTTGTTGGCGGCTGTGGATGGCATTTCTATTGGAAGGTTTTTGAAGCAATGAATTTTGCTATGGGACAATAATTTCAATACCCTCTGTTCATGATTGAGAGCTGAAATTAAAATGTTATAGGACAGAATATATAATTTCAATAGCCTTTGTTCATGATTGAGAGCTGAAATTAAAATGTTATAGGACAGAATATATAATTTCAATAGCCTTTGTTCATGATTGAGAGCTGAAATTAAAATGTTAAGTTCGTGAATGCTATATAATTAACCACGTTGTTCAGAAAAGCTTTAAAATCAGAATGAGTCCCTCTCTCCTTAGAAATGATGCCATTCATCGAGATTTTTTTTTCAATAAAATTTAAATGAACAATGGACGTATAAATAAATTGATTATAAATTAAGTTTTTTACACTCGTACATACATACATACATATATATATAATTGAGATCTTATAACGTTTATTCTAGAATCAAAACCTTTCATTTCTTTAAGAACCAATAACATAACTCGAAATGAGCTCTTAGAAGAAGAACAACAACAAAGATAATTCTACTCAATTTGTATGCTAAATTCCAATCCAACGCCTCCTCTCATGCCAAATTATTATTAATGGTTATCTCAAGACCTTTTAGCAAACAGTTTTTTTAGAGAGAATTTGGCGAAATGTAGGTTTGGATATAGTAAAATTAGACGGACAAAATTAGAGGTATAACACTAAAGATGTATTTGATAATGTGTTTACACTGTATTTAAAAGTTTTTTTCAAAGTACATTTGAACTGAAAAAAAAACATCAAATCAATGATTTTTGAGTGCTTTTAAATGAATTTGATATGTTCATATTGAAAAAAAAATCCAAAAAATATTAATTTGATTATAAAAACAAACAAAAACGACGATATGTTTGTTTTATTTACACATTAAACAATAATACAAATGAATTATCATATGATCCATGTATCATTTCCATTATCATGTACCAATGCTAGCTAGTTTAATTCTTATAGGGCTATTATATATTCTGCTACAGCTTCATCATAAATTAATCACCAAACAATGAAATTTTGAAGGCTTTTCTGCCAAACACAAAATTCAAGTAAGAGCAATTACAAAACTATGTATTTTTCATAAATATTAATTAATTGCAGATGAAAATATAATTAAAGAAGCAAGGTATGGTGAATAGCCAATGAAATGCACGTGTTACTGATATGAACATCTGTTGCATGCCTGGTGGTTACGTACCAACTTGTCACTTGATGTAGGCTTTATTTATTTGAGAAGTATTGCTGAGCTAAAATTGTTGAAATTGGAGTAAACTTGGTTGGTAAATTGCCCCCACAAGAATTCCAGGTAGATAATTTTGATGGTGCCATGACAAGGTAATGGTGTTGAAAATATGGTGATCATCTTTACCAAGTTGAAAATGGATCGATCTCTGTGTTTAGTTTTTTATTTATTCATTTGCTTTTGTTTTTCTTATGGGAATATTATATCAAATCATATAATAAAATTCAACTTAAATTTGGACATATAACTGATGAGGTTACCTTCAATTCAAAACAAGCAATTAGATTTTGATGATTAACTTAAGAGTTTTGAGTATTATCAAAGGGTTCTTGGTATATGGTTGACTATAACGAGCAAATATCACCGTAGGTTTTTGTTCTTTGTTATGAAAATGATGACCACGAACATCACCACGTCAATTCCATAGCATGCAGCTGTTGTTTCTTTGGAGACACAGCCCATTGCTATAATCATTTTCAAAGTTGTTGCCATTTAAATCAATTGATTTTGTTGAATATTGTCTATACGTAACACAAATACTTCAAGTTAAATTATTGCCTAAAAAAATCTAGGATTTTTTCTATATTTTAGGAGCATGAGTTTATTCAGATAGAAGAATTTGAAATCCATATTTCTTATAAGGTCTTCCTTTTCGGCTTGAAAGCTATGTTCCCTCGTCGAGGATGGTGCTCTTTTCCTTAAAAAAGAAAGGAACCATCCTTGTGTCTAAGGATTGATGTGATTTGATACAGTTGATTTCAAACAATATATGGATGGAAAGATTAAAAGAACTCACAAGTATTGTACCTACAGAAAAATAAAACAAAAGAAGAGACATTTTTGTAATTAAAAGTTACATTTTTAAAATTGAAGTTTCAAAGTTCAAGAAAAGGATAGGATTGGAATTTTATTTTTTTATTTTTGTGCAAAAAACAAAAAGAAAGTAAAGTGGTAAGTTATCTTAAAATTTTAGTAGCTTATATATTAGTCCATCTCATTTCAAAAATCAATTAGTTATTCCCATTTATTTTAAAAACTATTTATTTAATTTTTTATGTTTTAATTTCGTCAATAATTTAATCATTTTATTGGTGTTTTGTTAGATTAGTGATTTTTTTCACAATTTATTTATTTATTTTTTTAAGTCTTATTCCTCTTCTTCACTCACTCTCTTGCTCTCTCCTCCACCAAAAATCAAAGGAAGAACAATATGAAAATAAAAATTACTAATTTAACAAAAAATGATGAAAAGATTAAGTTATTGATGAAATTAAAATATGAAAAATTAAATAATTAGTTTTTAAAAGAAAAGAGACTAATTAATTCGTTACTTTGAACAAAAGGGACTAATTTATATTTTACTCAAAATTCCGACAAAGTAATTTGTACTGACCACCAAAAAAGAGTTATGGCACTACGTTATAATCCAAACTCTTTGACATGGTAGACGAGATGACTTGCTATTAAACCAATTTCTTATTGATATTAAGGTGGAATTTTGAAACTGGAATGAATAATTTTTATTTATTTTTTTATTTTTATGTTTATAGAATTACATATAATAAGATATTTTTGAATTAATTTTTATATCAATCAAGACTAAATATACTATTTTTTACGTTAAGTCAATGTTAATTAAATCAATGTTAATTCACGTCTAATCTTTTGTCGATTCTAAAAATCGAATTCTTAAAAATAGCTAGTTTATATCTAGTGTCAAATAAAAAAAAGATAAATTTTCTAAGTAAAAATAAAATTTCTGACATGGTAAATAACAAACACTCTTCTTACCGTCCTACCTGCAACATATTGATATATTTTATATTTAGTAAGTAACCCAAAGCTCATGAATCCTCCTAATAAACCATTAAAAAAGAAAAAAAGGTGTGGTCTGCGTTTAACCATTTCAGGCCCATTGAGACAAGGAGCACAACAAGCCCGAACACACGGATTTAACCGGGTTGGAAGCCCATATTTTGAAAGACTTGGCCCATATCACAGCTCTTATCTTACAAATGGGCTTAACCCTTTCCTTTTCATGTGGACTGACATTGTGCCCACATCAGGCCGGTTTTCTTGATGGATCTACATATTTGCGTCTTAATCTGATTGCTATTCATTTCCTGACTAGAATTGACAATGCCACATATCTTTTCTTAGTCACATTCTTGCACCCCAGACCTAAGATTTCTGGTTGCTTGGTTCTATAATTCAAGAAAATTACCAGTCTGTCTAACATTAGCATCTTTGCCCTGTCTGATCGAACTGAATTCTCTTATCTCTTTCCAGCTGTTGGCCCATGACTGCCAACCCAAAGATGAGTTGATAGCAATCTATTCTCAATTGTAAGATTGTGACATCCAATATTTTGCGTAAGTAATCATGTTTTACAAGTGCTTTTTAATCTTTTTCTTAAGAATCTACACTGTAATAGTCTGTGGACAATGGAAGGAAAAGAAAGGAAAAACAACAACGAAACAAAAACATGACATAATATGCTAATCATTTCTCAGACTAAAAATTTAATTATAACATAAGACAGATATATTTCATCAAACTATAAGAATTCACACTAAATATCCACTAAACCATCCTTCTTACAATTCTTACTGCTAGAGACACTCCAAGAATCAGAAAACTCAACGGAAGATGCTGATGATGAGAACCCATTTCCACATTTGGCTACAGCTCTCACATTCTCAATCAACTCTTCAGTGCTAGCCTCCTGTGACAAAATCTCAAGTAGCTGCTCTGGGCTAATCACAAGCTTCACTTTCCAAAACCCATTATTGCTTTTGTAGTAACTATGGTTGTTGTTGTTGTGATTATACCTAGAGAAAACTTCAGTGTATGACCTCTTTAAGATGCCTTGATAATCTAAGGACATCCTATAAGGTGCAACGATATTTGATGTAGCAGCAGCAGCTGGTATACTTTTTGATCTAACATGACCTTCTCTTACTATTTGGCCACCGATTTTTGAGTTGTTGAGTGGGAGTAAATAGTAAGACTGTCCTCCTTTAAGCTCTTCTTCTACAGAAAGTGGTCTCCAGAAAAGATCATGGCTTGGGAAGATAGCGTGGCCTGGAAACTCACTGCTGATGGATCCCGCTGTTATTGGTGCGGTAAACTCCAAGATGCCACCATTAGCTGTTATCACCTTTATCACTTCTTCTGCCACTCCTAGACCTCCAAATAGGCAGTTTCCCATGCCTAAAACAACAACAGAAGAAACAACCAAAACAAATACTCCAATATTAACAAGAAAATAAAGTTTCTATAGCTTAAAAAGACATAACCCTTCTCTTATAGTTCTAGCTTGGAGGGAATTAAACCCTAAAGCGAGGGAAAGTGTAAGGATAGAGAGAGAAGCAAGCAATAGTAGATGGGATTCTTCTTTTGGGGTTCCTAGATCAATCCCACTAGAGAACAAAAAAGAACAAATTAATAAAAAAAGAAAGAAAGAAGAAAAAAATGGGAGCAATATCACCGGCATTGCTATTAGAATTTATTGATGTATATAATATATAGTTCAACTATATGTTCATACACGGAAAGAAATGATTTTTATTAAGTTTGGTATGATGGATGGTAGGCCATGTTCACATTACTAGCTAGCAAAGAGACAATTTCTTTTTGATCCCATTGGAGGCCCTTTTAGTAGCTGGACAGAATATATCACAGTGATTTTATTAAAGATTTCAGTCAACATTCATAAATCGTCAATGGAGGAAAAAGCCAGGGGAACTATCATCTTTTGTACTTTCTCTTTAACAAATCTTGGCCCCATAAGAGAAATTTTTGTCACCAAAGTGAAGGGACATCAATCATCGTCTGGGAGATCCCAGGCCGGATTTAAGGGACAGTTTAGTGATCGTCAAGAAATACAAGGAACTCTTACATCATGTAATCAATCACACACACTCTCAAAACGGACCTCTATTACTAATCTTCCAAGATTTAATACTCATCCTGCCGGGCCATGCCAATCTATAAGTAAATGAGAACTTGTATTGTTATATATATATATATATATATATATATATATATATAAGAAATTATTGGGAATTTGTGGATTGCTTAAAACTCTACAGTCAGTAATTCATAATTTAAAATTGATTATATCAGATCATATTAGTTTTGTGGATTAATACATTCATTTATCTTTGTATAATAGATTAATTTTTCAATTGTTTCTAAAAAGAGAAATAGTTACAATTTGTCCTTATGTTTTAAATGGTTTCTAATCTATCTTTTTAATTAAAATGCTTGATCAATTTATCATAAATTAAGCATAAAATTTGCATATGGTATGTAATTTAATAAAATTATTTTTGTTATTTAAAATAAGTGATTTATATCTATTAATATAAATATTAATTTTTGATGAATTGATCAAAATTTTGGTCAAAATGACAAATTATAAATCAACTTAAAAAATAAGAACAAATACACTTTTTTCAGACGAACTAAAAAATTGACATATTATGTAAAAATAGATGAGAATATTAACTCTAGTTTTTTTTTTTTCTTTCTTTCTTTAAGAATAGACTCCACGTCTAACAATCTACAATTATCATTTTGGGCAAACTATTTAAGGACGAAGTTGAATCCAAAAAGTTAAGATTTTTCTCCGTCTTGAGTACTAAAGTCCTTAGCAGTTGTCTTGATCCTCATAGATTAACTAGTATTTTAATGTGTCCTACGCTCTTGGGGTGTTTTTCTCTTCTTGGAAATGACTGAAGGCAAAGAAATAATGGAACTTTAAATATTAGAAAGGAATGAAAAGGGTACGGATATAGTGAGCAAACACATCTGCCACAATCACCAGGACATTAGGAATGATGTCCTCAAATTCTATTATCTGTTTAATTTAGTGGAATTCAGTGTGTTCACATAAGAAAAAAAATAAATTCGAAAGCAAGGAAACGAAAAGTGTCACACAAAAAAAAAGAAAAAAAAAAAAACAAGGATATATTTAGTGCAACACTACTGAAATCCAGGAAAGTCGAAAGAGCTTCACTTTTCGATTAGTTATCTTAGAAATGGTCGAGTTTGTAATTAAACTAAATATTTTCTTTCGGGGTTTAGCTAAGAAGTATTACTACGTAGAGCTGTTTATCATTCCATCCGATTTGATGTCACTAAATATATTTAATATATGTCGCTACACGACATCGGATGGAACTCCTAAAAAATATCTAAAATTTAGATTAAATATTTATAAGTTTATTTACGAGTTTGGAGTCGTCAACTTGTATTGGAGGAACTAGAAACCTAAAACGAACATTGGTTCGGAGATTCTATGGTAAGGAGTTGGTTACGCTTTTGGGAAGATATCGATCATCCAAAAGCGTCCTTTCCGAAGAAAGGTATCACGTCCGGTTTAGCTTTGAATTTATCTCTAAAAATATTTTATTTATGTCAAATTATTTTCTTATTCTTAATCTTCCATTTTTTAAACAAATTGAATTTTTTACTTTTGAGCGTCATATTTTATTAAAACGATCGTCGGTCCCCTTCGTCGAAAAATATAACGATTCAAACATCGGATCCACTTTAAGCCTTGACACAACCGATATGTCGGAGGATATCTTGATTTAAACAATGATTTTTTTGGTGACGTCGGTCCCAATCGGATAGGAGACATCGTCGAAAATTTTTAAGTTTTTTTTTTTTTTGTGACGTGAGTCCCTATCGGATAGAAGACTTCGTCAAGATTTTCTTGTATATAATTTTTCTATCAATACATATGAAAGAAAATAAATAAATAAATAAAATAAAAATTCTAAATTAATATATAAAAAAACACCAAGGAATAAAAATAAACGAGGCTAAAAAAATGAATAATAAAAGAAAAGGATAAAATAATAAATAAAAAACATCTTATACCTAAACCATTAACCCACCACTTTTACTTCTTTTTTTCCCTTTTTTTTTCTAATTCTATTTTTTTTCTTTATTCCCGCCTCTTTTTTTTTTTTTTTTAGGGACGCAGTCGGGCTGAATTCCGGTCTAGCTCGTTTTTTATTTGGAGTAAGGGGGCACGAGTCGGGTCGATATCGGCCTAGCCCCTCTTTCTATTTTTTTTTACTCGAGCTAGACTAAGCTGAAATCAGTCCAGTCCCATTCTTTCTCAACCCCAAACAGGCTCAAACCCATAAACGAGGCCAAAGGTTAAAACAAAATCAAAATTTCGATCAAACCCTTTCCCGACTTCCTCTCTCTCAGATCTCCCAATCTTCTTATTCTCTATCTATTTTTTCCAGTTTTCATCGGAAATTGAAAGCCTTATTCAACATACCATGTTCTCGCTCTTACCCCTTTAGAAGACCAAATTTGTAGTCTAAACGTATAATTGATAATCAATTGAAACAAAAGTTAAACGAGGTCGAGTTGAGAGAAAAAAAAATGCGGATCGACCAAATTTACCTATGTGAAGGATTGTCACGCAGGCGAGGAGAGCGGAAGCACGAGGTGTTTTTGGAGGTCCCGAGGGGTATTCAACGAACTTGGGATGCTCGGGCGGATGGCGAGAATGAAGAATTGGAGTTTAAATGCTCGAAGAACTCTAAAACTCAAAACCCAAAAAGAGTAATGGCTCAAAAGCTGCCCATAAAAATTGTTTAACAAAAACCCAAGAAAGAGCGAGTGATTGAAGCTTTAAACCCGTAAAGTAAGTTAAAGAACGTGTGGTAATTCACCCAAACCCAAAAAAATCAAAGAACGAATAACACGAGATGAAATTTTGTAAACCCGAGATGAAGAACACTTAAACCCGGGAAACCGGAAAAACCCGGAAAACCCGAGTTGCTAAAAGATCGAAAATTTGGTTTTTTGCTTTCGATTTTTACCCTCTCTCAACCCGAATTCCTCTCCAAAAATCCCCTTTTCCTTCGTGAAATTCGAAACGTTTTATAGGAAAAAATTTCCTAAAATCAAATCTCAAATCCCGAATTCTTTTCTCAAAATTTTCCTCTTTAATTCATGATTAATGTGAAATCAAAACGGAAAATTTGGTCATTGCTTCTCGTTAGTGTTGATTTTGGCAACAAATTCGCGATTAATACACAATCAAAAATAAGAAATTCGTGGAAGATTTGGGCAGATTCTCCCAAAGATTTTCGGAGAGAATTTGCCTTGGAGCGAACGACAGGTCATCTTCTCCATTTCGGTCCTGTCGTTCGCTCCAAACTTCCGATTTGGTCCTCGCGTTTCAATTTCAACAATTACGCCCTTCAATGGTATAATTTCAGCACAATCTCATCAATTAGGTCCCTAGGAGGTGCAATTTAAGGCCTAATTTTTTTAATTGACTCAATTACACCCCTAATTACTTCAATTGTGTCCCTAAATGAGATTTTTTTTGTGTTTTTTCATCATTTTCTTTCCTTTCTTTTCTTCTTTCCTTTCTTTTTTTTTTTTTTAGTAAACTTCAAATTAAAAAATAAATAAAATAAAATAAAAATAAAAAATAAAAAACAAAGAAGGTAAATTTTGGGTTATTACAATATATATACATATTTTATAACCCGAATTTGATTATAATTTGAATCGTTAATTTATTTATTGAATGGGTCAAATATAGATCTATTTTAATTCAATCCGATAATAATCGAATCTGAAATTAATTTTAATATTATTTTTTATAAATATAATATTTATTAAATAAATCAAATATGAGTCTATTTTGATTCGATTTTATAATAATTTGATCTAAAATCAATATTATTTTTAATGAATATAATATTTAAAACCATAAAAATATAAAAACTAAGAAAAAATATGGTTATAGGTCTAGATTTAGCTTATTTACTCCAAATGCTAAATAAGGTTCAATAATTTTGTTCCTTTTTATCCAACTTAAATTAATTTTGACCTTTAGTATAACTTTTTATTGAGATTATTTGATTTTTTTTTAAATGGTGAGATATTTTAATTTTTTTAAAATTAACTTATTAGATATTATCATAATAGATTTTCTTATACACGCAATAGTTAAAACTCATTTTACATCGAAACATAATTTTGAATATAACCAACATCTATTCTTTTAAAAAATTAAATGATAAATTTGATCAATGTCGATTTCGATCCGAATCCATTAAAATCCAAATCCGAATCCACAATTGCAAAACCTAAATTCGAATTTAAAAGATTTGATTCAATTCGTTTATCAAACAAATTAAATTTAGATCTATTATTATTTGATACCAAATTCGATCTGTTAATTGTCTAGGTGTCAAAAACACTTTTTATGAAATAACTAATATGGTAAATTAGCATTTAACATACGTTTAGAATTTTCAATTTTAATCATTGTTTGTCCATTCACGAGTCAAGCAAAATAAGAGAACAATATTAATCATACATTTTTCAATTTTTTAATGCATAATCTGAGCTTATGAAGAACAATTAATATCCTTAACAAGTGTTCTTAGTGGACACTCGATAGATAACATGGCCAATTACATCTTGGGTTATATCATATGGTATGGTTCTTTATCCATGTCTCTCAAAAAAAAAAAAAAAAAAAAAAAGATAAAAGAAGCTACTATTGGATGATGGGTCCCCCTTGGCATGATACTAAGAAGAAAGAAACTTTATATGAGTTGGAACTCACAATATTTACAAGTCTAAACCAGTTGTTTTGATAAATTGTCGCCCTCACATTTGTTATAGATGGATCGAATTTATTTAGGTTTAACTAGAAAATTTGTCATTCCTTGTTGTATCGAAAATTTTCTTATCTAAAAAAAAAATTATGATAATCAGTAGCCTTACTCTTCTATTTCAAATTTGATCGATTAACATCAAATTAATAAAATTTTGGTCATTTGGTCCCGATTAATAATTGTCCTTTAGAAGGAAAACAAATTGCATTTCGTAGAAATGTAAGAATTGAATTGATAATTTTATTTTATTTTTATGGATGGTGTTTAATATTGTAATGTCATTTTTTATTTTATTTTTATGGAAGTAAGTTTTTGAGCTGGAGAGGTTCCTTCCTCGCTGCCCTCTTTCAACTCGTGACAAAGATGTCCCCTGTGATTGATGTAGATAAAAGTACCAACAAAAGATGTATCGCAGAGATTTTCGCGCATAATTAATCATCTTTTGAGCTCGAAAATCAATGTTATCTATTTCCATGTCAAACATGAAGAAGCTATATATAATTCTATCTTCAAGCATACCAATGTGGCACAAACAAGGAAATATATATATATATGCCAATATACTGAACTTAATTTGTATCTCTCTTGACTAAGAATCCGTTTGGCATAAATTATGACTTTTGATTTTAAGTTCTAATCTAAAAGTTTGGTTTTTATAAATAATTTAAAATAAAATAGACTTAAAATGATTTAAGTTAGAAATATTTTTGTTAAAAATGACTCAAATGAACTTTTTTAAAGAATGAATATTGTATAAGTTATAATCTATAAGTTAAAAGTTTAAAATTTCAATTTTTGATTAAAGAAACATTTTGTAACAAATTTTTTATTTGACATTAAAAATTATTTCTAATCAAATGTATTTATAACTTTTCTTTGGGTCAAAAATTAAAAAATAACTTAAATAAATTTGTAAACTCATACCAAACATAGCCTGATTTTGTTTTGAAATTCAACTTCGTAACATTTTCTTTTATGGCTACATGACATGCATTAATTTATACTACATAACTTTTTTTTATACCACTACAAAAAAATTGAGTTTAACAATAGAATATTCCGTCGTTAAACACTCCAATTCCGTCGCTAATTGTGAATAGCGACGGACCATATTCCATCGTTATTTTGCTAGTCACTAAATTTTGGTTACGGAATACTTATTCCATCGCTAAATTTAATGACGGACAATCCGTCGCTAATCTCGTCGTAGGATCGCTTTTTTTTTTCGTAGCTAATCCATCGTTATTCCGTCGCTAATTTTGAAAATAAATCCTTCGCTAATCCATCGCTAATTTTGAAAATAAATCCGTCGCTATTTTTGAAAAATAAAATTGTCACCTATCTATCGCTATTCCATCACTAATTTCAAAAAAAAAATTCATAATTTCGTTGCTTTTGTTTACATTTTTCAAAATTAAATTATTAACATGACATTTAATAATTAATATTTAATAATAAACAATTATAAGTAATCATATATATATGAAAAATAAAATAATATTAAAAAAAATCATTCTAGAATACATTTCATAAAAAACAAAAAAACAAACAAAGTGATTGAATATTATATCACTCATCATACTCGTCAAATCCCATATCCTCATCTTCATATTGTGTGGAGGGCTCGACTGGAGAGTCGAACTGGAAGCCGAGTGGAATGAACGATCAAATCATTATGCATGTTATCTTATTTCAATTTTAATAATTAAACTAATAAAATTACTTATAAAATTTACATTCGAAATGACTACACTATGTCAAAAATTATATAATTTCAACCAAATTTAACTAAACTACATAAAAAATTATATAATTTCAAAATTAAGTTTAAACAAACAACTAACCAAATTAACCTAACATTAAAAACAAATAAATATATAATTAATTCACTTAACTAAAATAACAATGTAAGATTAGATAATTAAATTTTAATCTAACAAATAAAATTAACAAAATTTAAATTTTTAAGGTTTACGTTAACATACAAATTAACTTAACAATTAACATAACAACAAAATTAAATTGAAACTTGCTCTTTAAATTATTATAAATTTTTATTTAAGAAATATTCATTAAGAAAAAAACATTTTTTTAAAGAAAATCTATTAAAAACATTTTAAAAAATTAACTAAATACAAAATTTTAATTAAAATCATAAAATAGTAGGAAAAAAATACTTTTTTACCTTTCGGTCGATATGTTTTAGTGGATTCGCAGCATGATGCAAATCCATCAAATTAGAATGATTTTTTCAAATGATTTCACATGCTCTACCCGGTTTATAGCATAACATAGACAACAAACTAATTTTATACTCTATATAAAAGATCATTTGTTGAAATTGATAATTAATTAATCAAGAAGATTAAACAGTAAGACCTGAGCTAATAAATGGAGGAGTAATGCTAATATTGCAGAACTGCTTTAAGAAATTTACTTACCAAAAAATATCAACCATTAGATTTATATGAAAAATTACTCCAAAAAATCCACTTAGTTAATGGATGAGATACTCATCCTTACTCTTTTGGGAGAGTTTCTAAAGAGAAAGTTTCGCAATTTTTTTTTTTTCAATTTAGCAGATCTAAATCCACATGTTAGTTTTAAATTAAGCAAGAGTGCCAATTCAGAGAATTTGAAACTTGCACTCCAAGACAAATTGTATTTCTGGTAAAACCCTAACTTGATGAGCAAGCAACTATCATTATAAATGTGTAACCGACCAAAAATTTGTAGACTTAAAAATCCTACTAAAAAGAAATTAAAAAAGAAAGAGGAAAGAAAGCAAAGCAAAGATGAGGACGAATATTGAGCCTACCTTGTTGGAGTTAGCTCGCAAATACCGTCAATACAAGTTGATTTGCCGCAGGTATATATCCCTTTAGTAATCCTTATTTTTTAATATATATATATATATATATATATATATATATAATAGCCTTCTTAATTGTCATGTGCATTTCTACCTCTATTTTTGTTATACATGTACTGATTTGTTTTTATCATTATCGATGTGATTGTAGTTGCTACGCTCGTCTACCTCCTAGGGCAAAGAATTGTAGAAAAAAGAAGCGTGGCCATAGCAACCAGGTCTTGTCCTAATTAAATTTAACCAATATTTTTATTTTTCACTGTGTTGTTATAATGAATTCTGATTTTTTTTTTTTTCAATGCAGTTGAGGGCGAAGAAGATGCCACAGAAGGATTAATCCTCCGTTGGAGAATTGGATTTTATTTCCATCTTTATTAATTGCTTTTTTTTTCTTTTTTTTTTTTATGAGACCATATCTTAGTAGTATTAAATATTCAGAACTTGGCTTTAAGAAAATTAAAACAATTGCGTTGTGTGAATGTTTCGTTTTATATTGCTCATAAGTTATATATATTTCTGCAATTAATTTCTTTTAGTATTATTTTTCATTTTTCTCATCTCTAGGGCAGTTTTAATTTTAGAACCATAAAAATAACTTTAACTGGCAGTTAGAATATAGATAAATACAGATGCAAATTGGGCTTGCGAACTTGGGACCTCTTCATTGGACTTCCTAGAAACCCAATCAGTATCAAAAAGGCCCATAGTAGCCCATGACCATGTTCAAGGCTTCCTGCCGTCAGTCTCTCCAAAAGAAAACCCTAGTTGAACAGCCTATAAAACCCGAACAAGGAAGGGGTGTGTGTGTGTATAAATTAAAGAAATGTAATGTTAAATTGGTGTTTTTTTGTACGCTTTTTAAGTTGGGTCGTACAAGTGGTTTAAATTACAAATGACAACGGATATCTATGGAATGAGTATCGAATATTAATTTATATCTTATTCATTATTCATGATATAAGAAATTTATATATTTATATATAACTCATTAGATTTTGAGTATTCATTGGATTATCTATTTAAGAAGTTAAGAAAAATTCTAAAAAAAAATTATTAGACAAATTCTATTGAAAATTAAATTTCATAATTTGTTGATTGCTTCATAATCTGAATAATAAAAAGAATAAGAACACGGCTAAAGAAGCAAAAAATTTAAAACAAAAGATGGCAAAGGTAACAACATTCTCACAAAAACTTCATGAAAAAACAAAAATTTAGTGAGGGTCTCGTTTAGATCGTCACCATAATCCCCTAAAAATTTGAATGATTTTTCAATGACGGTTTAAATAGATCGTTGCAAAAGTTTTCAAAAGTATCCGTTAGATTTTTTAGGAAATTTAGCGAAGGTCTATTTAAATAGTCACTAAATTTACACAAAACGGTTTGTTAGGGACGACTTTACTAAAGCTCGTCACTAAAATCATAAAAAAAAGGTATAGTCTACGACGGTCCGACCGGACCGTTGCTAAAATCCCCAAATATATCCGTTGGAGTTTTTTGAAGGATTTAATGATTGTCCGTTTGAACTGAATCGTCGCTAAATTCACCCAAAAATATCTATTAGCAACAATTTTGCTAAATCCGTTGCGAAATACCTCAAAAAATGGATGGTATCTATGATGGTCTTACTAGATCGTCGTTAAATCTCCCAAATGTATTCGTTGGGATTTTTAGGGAATTTAGCAACGGTCCTTTGAATCATTGCTAAATTCACTCAAAACGAGTTTTTAGCGACGGTTTCTCAAAAACTATCGCTAATTCCCCGCCAAAAATGTTTTTAACGAGGGTATCGGAAAAATCGTCGTTAACACCCTTAAATTTTCTAGAGGTTTAGTGACGGTCCGATAAAACCGTCGTTAAAAACCTAATAAACGATTTTTTAGCAAGGGTTTAATGAAAACTGTCGCTAAATTGGGTCTAATTTGTGATTTTTTTTGAATTTATGAGTTCTCAATGACGGTTTGGAAAAAACCGACACCATCAACAAAATTAGCTACGATTTATTCAAACCATCTCTAATTCTTGTTATTTATTGATGGTTTTATAAACCGTTACTAATAAACGATCGTTATTCTCTTGTTTTCTTGTAATGTTATTTTCTAACAATGATTCAATCAAACATGAGAGTTGAAGAATATTAATATATGAAAAATAAAAAATCAAATCTAAAATGTCATATCATAATTGTGCAAGAAAAATGCAATCGCATATGTAGCATGGATCTTTTACAATCTAGAATTCACCTTTTAGTGTTTCTATCCAACTAAATAATAATTGTTCTCGTGTGGTAAAAGTTGTCAAAGATTCCTCACTTTCAAAAAGAGAAAAAAAATTATATCATGGTCCGAAACTGATTAGTAAACATCCTTTAATTAATATTATTATTTTTTGAGGTATTTTAATTGCGAAATATGTTCCTCTTCTCCTAGAAAAAAGATACGATTCATAGGTATTTTTAGAGAATATAATAAGAGTTTAATTACTTATTAAATTACATTGATAAATTCAAAATTATATTATTGTTACAAAATTAATCATAACTTATTAGCTTTTCTTTTTTTAAATTACACAAGAAAACATTTAAAACCTTTCATTTTAACTTTTTCTTCTTTTGTTTTGCAAACCGTACCCTTTCTTTCCGACCCATCAAGCAAAGCTATCCAAAATTCCACACAGATTATTTTAACTTCAACTAATTGATAGGGACTATACACAGAACAATATAGGGCGTGATTCAAGCATAAAAGGTACTGTAAGTCTTGAACTTTTTTGAACAGGAGAGGTGCCCTCCTCACTGCCCTCTTTCAATTCAAGACAAAGATGTTTCCTGTGATTGGTGGAGATAAAGAGCCAACAAAAAAAGATGTATTGCAGGGTTTTCCCCACATAAGCTCCTTTTGAGCTGGGAAATCAGTGTCACCTATTTCCATATCAAGCAATTAATAATCTATAATTCTATGTACAAACATAGGAATTAATGTACACAGAAAAGGAAATATAAAGTAAATAGCTCATTTTATTTTTATATAATAGCTCAAGTCTTCGATATGTTATTATCTTTTTAATTGTATCTATTTTTTAATGTTATTTTATTATTTTAGTCTCCAATCTATCATTTAATCAATTTGTTCGATGATAGACAAATTTTTTCACCCAAATGCTTTTGATTGGAAAAAAAAAAAAAACTAAAGACTTTAAAAATAAAATATGCAAGTCATATAATTTTAAATTGGTATATATATGGAAAAAAAAATAAAGACTTTAAAAATAAAATATGTAGATCATATAATTTTAAGTGGGCACATATATATATCTATCTATATAAAAGAAAAAAAAGATTATTTAAAGACATAATAGATGAATTAGAAACATAAAAACAGATCCAAAACTTAGCTTATTATATAAAAAACAGATTCGCCTACTTACCAAAAAAATATATATGTCAACATACTTAGCTTTGTTTTTCTGACTCATGTTGTTTGAAATTCAAGTTAATTCCCATCATTTTGTTCAGCTGAAAAGAAAATTGACTTTACTTTCCATTTTTTTCCTCACTAAATCTCAATATAGGAACAAATTTCTTCTATGACTAGCTACGTATATGACATGATATACATTTATTTAATTCCTATACTCAACAAAATACTACTCACTTTCTTCAGGAATGGTTTGAAGCCCTGGCTGCCACCTTGATAAAGAGTTGAGTCGTTCACACCAAGAAACATTCTGAATGGCCATTAAGCATATCTCTTCTACTGATATCTTCTTGAATACCAATTCTTGAAGCTGTTGCTTTGTTAGAATCATTTCAATCCTCTTGGTGCCACTTGTGTTATCCATGCTTACTGAAGTAGGAGAATCATGATCACTAGCAACCCTAATAGGCCAGCCCAAGCTACATGCGGGAAAAAAATGATCACCATTATTTCCACAACCCTTGATGATTACAGGCCTTGTGTCATCTAAAATTTTGCCAGTAGCCTTCATGATCCTCGAAACATTTTCATGCCTAGTTGTAGTCGATTGAGAACGAGACTGTGATCTCTTGATGAGTTTGTGCAATGCAAAGCAATTGCCCATTGTTGTTCAAAGAGGTGGTGAAATGGAGAGGACACAAATGAAGAAGTTAAGGACTAGAGATTGACATTGTGTGATGGGGAAGAGAGTGAGAAGTTCGAAGGGGACAAGTGAAATATTGTTACATCAAACGTTTTGTAGATGAAAAGGTTGTTAATTTGTTAAGGATACTTATGAATGGACGTGTTACTTTCAGTTACGAAAGTGTGTTAATTTGGATTGAGAAATTGGAAAGTTAGAAGGGTGATGAAAGTATGGGACCAGAGAAAATCATTGTATAATTAACAAGTGTATAAATACATAAAGAAGGAGAATTTTGGGAACAAGCATGCAATGCAAGAGATGGTTCAAGGAAGGTGCATCTTTTGGCGTTTCTCCTTTGCACGTCCCTCGAAGTATACATCATATATACCTTGTTAAATATAGTTTTTGGACATGGAAATTATTTAATTCATTGACAAATGTTGACCACATTTAATTTAATATTAATTTTTTTAAAAAAATGTCATTTTTTAAAACCATCCTTCCATGTTTTTTTTTTAATTTTTATTTCTTAAAATAAATTGAAAAAAAAATTAGTTATAATTTTTAAAAATATATAAGGATTAAATAATTAAATTTTGAAAAAAAAACTAATTAATTCGTTTCTCTAAACTAGAGAGACTAATTTATGATTCAATCATACTTTTGTTTCAAACAACTCGCATACTTCTCTTCTCTCAAGTAGAATAAAAATATGTTAATGTCATTTCTCTTTAAAAAAAAAAAAAAAAACTATAGAATGAAATATCAAACAGTTTAGTTCACAAGATAGATTGTTCTTGAATTTTTCACTCTTGGGAAAAAAAAAAAAAGGCGAGGGAGATTTCATGTTGAGTAACTTATAAATAAGTCCCTCTAGTTTTAGAAAATGAATTAATTAGTCTTTTTTGTTTCAAAAATTAATTATTTAATTTTTTGATTAGTAACAACATTTAATTTAATACTATTTTATTCTAAAAAATATCTTCATTTGTCATCAATTTTTTTATAATATTTATTTATTTTTATTTAAAAAATAAAAAAGAGTATAAAATGGATAAAAAAAATTAAATAGTTATTTTATACAATAAAGAGGGTTATTTAATATGTTTATCAAAACTAGAGAGACTAATTTATAATTACTCAGTTCACGTTTCGGCTCAAGCCCGTGAAGTTGTTAAGAAAATAAGGTGGGCTTTGTGTTGGGCTTGGAAATATAATGAAAATCGGGCCAATGTTTAAGTACATCCCTAGCTCTGGAGTCTATACCCAAATGCTGAATCCAACTTAGAATTTCTCATATACGGCAGCATATAGTTCATTAATTTTTATTTTTTTTGAGAGTTCATTAATTCTTAAATAACATCTATTTTTAAATAATGCATTTTTCTAATTAAAATGGTTGAAAATACATCAAATTAGTTTTATTTTATTGAATGATTTTGAAGATTTTAACATCAACAGGACATGGTGGCTGAGAGTGACTTACATGGTCAAAGTAGGAATATTTCTTTATTCTTCCATTATAGAACCGTCTAGGGTCTCAGATCAAGTACCGGCCTGGTCTAAACCAGGCTATTGAAAGTTAATTAAATAGAAATTGTTGATGTGATGGAACAATTAGTGCTCTATAATGGCATCTTGTGTAGCAAGGAACAAAAGTTTAGAGATTCTAATTTTCTCTCAGCACCAAACTGTCAAACTGATTTGCAGTTAAGGACTAAAGTGTGCAAAAAAAGTTGGGCACGTATGCATGCAAGTAGAAACATCAAACATGTCCCCCAAATTATTTTGCTTTAGATACATCATCTCATTCAAAGGATAACGATAAAAATTAAATCTAAAAATTTAAATCGAATAAGTTTTCTTTTTAACCCCTAAGGTAAAAAATTCAAAAGATTATGAGTTTAATTTTTTTAAAAAATATTTGATTTAAAAAAAATTTATTACAAAAAGAAGTCAGAGTAGTTTTTTATATTTATGTTTATAGTGGCCAACTTTTCTTTTCTATTATATTAATTACCAACTACTAACGCTGACATTTTGTTTTTTTTTTCCTGTTTAACTACAGAAAACAGGGTCTTATCTATAGCAAAATTAAAAAAAAAAAAATTGGAGTCAGTGGTTTTCTCCTTGATGCAAAATCCTTAACGTTTTGAAAGAGAAGATCACAAGAAAGACAAACAACTTGAATCAAATCAAAACTTGGGATTCAGATCAGGGGTACATTGATTTGATGTTTCAGTCTGCTGAAGATCACAAGAAAGGCCATTTCAGAACCCACGAGCTGTGCAATAATGCATTCTTCTGTCATACCTCAAATTATTGTGATTTGTTGAGATGATAATACCCATCATAAAAAGGTCTCCTTCTTGTGGAGTGTCTACTTCATATGTTTGTATATTAGTTTGAAATGAATTTTAGCTCTTCTTGTCATTTGGGCTAATCTTTTAGAGCTGGCACCAAAAAAAAAAAAAAAAAAAAAAAAAAAAATCCAAATTTAGGAAGCCTCGTGGAAATTTGCCGTCTTTTCTAGTAGGTCATCCTCTGTCCATTAATGGTCTCCCGAGTCCGCTTCTGCTAACAATTAATGGCAACTATCCATCGCGTGAATGCACAGACCAACTTGCATTAAATAGTTTGCTTCAGTGGATACCCCATGCTTCATAAATATTTTCCATTTATGATCTAGTTCTATGTCCAACTGTATACGCCACCCAAGTACTAACATGTTGACCCATTTTTCTATTTGATTATCCTGTATATTATAAAAAAAAAAGGCTGGACATTGGATTATAACTACGACGAAAAAAATTACTTTTAAAATTAATTTTTAAAATTGAAAAGATGTAATAACATATAAAATATTATAACTTAGATTAAATAAATTTCTATGTTCAACCGCTACATAAATTAATGAAAAATAACTAACTTAGGGCTTGATGTATAAAAAAAATTATTGAAATATATTCTAAACCAGTTGTGAAAAAGATTGAATTTTTAATTATAAATGTGAGAGAAAACTTTATTGGATAAGTTAAGGGCAAATAACACCCAAAATCATCAAACAAAAAAATCTTGACCAAGTGGATCTCATCTCCCTCGTTCTTGAAAGAATGGAAAGCAACATTTGCTTTCGTCAACTACATTTCTCTTCTATTTTTCACTTTTCCTTCTATTATTCATATTGATTTTATGTTGGCATATTTTGCCTCTGTTTTGTTGGTTGAGGCATCAGGCATGTGATCATAACGAAACACTTTAGTGTATGAAAATCAATCATAAAATATCATCCGTCTACAAGATAAAAATACCATGGATGCGTGGCATTTTTAACTATGGTAATTTTTTGTTACAGTCTAGATATTTTTGGATAAATTTTTCGCATACTAAAACTAAATATATCTCTCTAATTTGATTGATTAAAAAAAATATATATCAACTATGTTGAATAGAAAATTCACGATAATCTAATTATTTTTCATAGTCTAATTTTAAATTTGAATATTTGTGGTTAAAAAGGCAATAACATCTCACTTAACCATAAATCCATAAAGCTACACCCTCTGAAGTTAACCATGATAATTTCTTTACAATATATATATATATATATATATATATATATATATATAGTGAGTAGCTTGTACTATATATGTTGCAAGAATCATACAAGTATTGTGGTTCATAATTCTTAAATGGTTCAACTCCCACAAAAAATTGTTGAAAATAGAATTCGTGTTTGTCTCCTCATCCATTTTGGATGGGATAAAAAATGGCTAAGGTTATTTATATGTTACTTTTATTAGTTTTTTTTATCATAAATAAAAATTCTATAATTTACTCAGTTGTTAAACATTAGGAGGTTGCTTTAGTAGTAAGTGGAGTAAGAAATAAAATCATATTATCACGATAAATTAAATTGAACACCGTTATAAATATAAATAACTATTCTGAAGTTCTCTTATAATGAGTTTTGTTTTAGGGTCAAATATTCAGAAAATAAGATTTGAAGACGAGAACTTATGCAAGTGTAAGAATCTCATTACACCATAAACCTATTGGTTTTTCTTTAAGTTCTCATTTTAAAACTAATAAATATCGCATACTATATGGAACCTCCTGACACCTCCCACATGCAATACAACAATTGGATAAGTTGTTTGTCAATAATCAATTTTGTCTTCTTTGTCTAAACTGCAAATCCATGGTAATATCATAACATATATACATATATATATATATATATATATATATATATATGAAGGGAACTCAATTGGTGTCTGCAGCTGAACTCTTGCAGCCAAATCACAAATCAGAATTCACAATAATGCTGAAACAGACAAGATTGTACTAAGATTCTGCGTCGTCACTCCAATGTCTACTCGCAGGTGAAGGCAGTCTTTTTTACGACTTCCGTCTCATCTTAGAATCTTGAATAAATTTTATTACTTATCATTTTTTATATAATTAGAGATGGATATCAACGGTTTGCATTTTAACAGTGATTCAGGCATGATTTAATTTTAAGATTATTGTTTATTTAGTGTACCAAAGTAATATATTATTACGTTATCAAATGAGTTCCAAAACCTTTTCATTTGAAATCAACATGAGCTGATGTTATCTTTCCGTTCTTGCATTGCTAGTGATACTTTTATAACTCTTGTGAAATTTATTAATTATAAACATATATACATGTTTAAATGTTTATAAACATGCTTATATTAAATAAAAGTGATAGTATGAATTGTTTTAAAAAAATTTACGATAACGATATGTTTGACGTTTACGTGAGGAATTCGAGAGAAAAAAATTTCGGATAATTTAGTTAATTATCCTTTGGATATTTATAAGTATTTGGGATGTATTATATTAGTGAGAAAGTTGTTTTAAAATTTTAGGAACATTGGAACTTATTTTTGAGAAAATTTTCAAATTGTTTAAATACTTATTTCTAAGTATTTGAGATGCATTATATTAGTTAATTAAAAATTTTCATTCAATTTTTATATAATTTGCATGTAATCATTAATTATTTTCATCCAAAGCATCAAAATTAACCCTAATCTATCCTACAAGACAACTATTAGCATCAAAATAAGTTGAAACACAAGGGATTCGGGAGTTGATAAATTTTCCGTATTGTATTATGATTAGGATCTGTTTATCCTTTTATAATATTACAAGTAGTATAGAATTAGGATTCTCTATTAATAGGTAATAACAACTACTAAGAGATAAATTATAATATTTCTATCTTAGCAAATATTATCTATATGGATTATATTTGAAAACGACAACCGTAGATTTTGTTAGAGAGTTTATTTTTGCAGTTTGTTTTTGAAAGTCTAGTGCTTTGTTGTCTTTGAGTTGTCTTTTATCTTAATAAAATATAATAAAAGCACTACTTTTATTAGTTTATAAAAAAAAATGCAGGAAATTTATTGTGATTTTGTGTTAATTTTGTCCTATAGAATAAATTAGGTCTTATTTTCATGTCTTCATGGAAGCAGTACCGAACATTGTCTAGTATCGGGACAGAATTTCTTAACTTCCATTGATAGAGGATGGTTGAAAATGTGACTGTGTCTAATATCGGCTATATTTTGGATAAAATTGATAAAAGTTTTTACGGACTCAATTGATAATTAGCTAATAAATTAGAGGATAAATTGAGTAATTTAATTAATTTAGCCAACTTGCCTCTTTTTTATTTTCTTGTACATGTTGAATTTATCCATAAAAATTAATTAATTAATTTTATTATATATTAATGATGTATTACCCAAAAAAGCATGAGATACAATTAATTAAGGTGATCTATTGCAATATACCTGGAAGCTTGAGCACCAAAATTTTGGACTATAAGGATTAGAAGATACTCTAGCAAACCAAACTTTAGCCCCTAAAAAAAATTCATTTCATTACACTTCATCAACCAAAATTCACAAAACCAAATGTACAATTATATATCATGGTATACATTTAATGGTGAGAGATCATACGACTATATGGGAGAGAAGAATTCTGGACATTCACAACCAAGAATTTACTGGGTTCCCAAGCCACATGGGATCGACCATACTTGTAAAAAACAGATGGTATGTTATATAGAATATATACTAAAATAAGAATAACGAAAACATTAATAAATAATATACAAAATTCATCAATTAATACTAACTACTAATCTACTCGATAGAAAGACAGGAAAAAAAAAAAAATCTGTGTTCTAAAGATTGCAAGCATTTTATCTTTTATGTAATTAGTTTCAACTGTATAACTTAATTTACCTGATCAGTCAAAATAGCTCCGATTAATAGTACAACTATGCAATTTCAGTCACTTCCTTCACAAAAATCACAGCTACTGCCCCCAAACACTTGAAAATCTGTTGTCATAAATAGAACAAATACAATTAACTCCTTTCCAACCCTTGCTATATATCGTGAGCTAGCTAGGTAAAGAAGACGAGAAAAAGAACATACATACGTACCGATCTTTAGGAGGAGAAAGCAAATGAACTTATGAAGTTCATATTAAAAATGTGTCACTCATTGGTTTAACTCAATTAGCAAAAGGCTGATAGGCAGTAAGGTGTCTGCCATGGCCAAATATTAGAAGGTGACATGAAGCCTGCCACCACAGATGAGGTCAAATTTGGTATGGTTAGGTGGGACCAAAATGAAATAAAAAGATCAAATTCATGTGAATAGGTAGGGACCAAAACGAAAAGCTAAGGTCAAATTGGTATGACAAGAAAAAAAAAACCAAAATTGAAATAACAAAACCAAATTAACATAGTTAGGTGTGTATATATATAATTAGGTGTGTGTATACACACATTAGACCAGCAATGGTATATACATACAAAGAGGTGTTTACCTTTGACTGGCTATATATATATATACAAGACAGATATTATAGTACTCAACCCAAATTAATGCTAATATTCTGTCATTCTCAAAATAAATAATTTGCCAGTATTATGCAAGTTGATCTTTTGTTGACATAGCTGGAAAGGACTTTTGACTCTATTAATTTAGATTATGAAAAGTAGTAAATTCCTAATCCCACTCATCAGACAGATAATTTAGCCTTATCTTGTACCCTACAAAATTAGCCAGAGACTTTTATTTTTTTTATAACAATAATTAGCAAATATGCTAGTTTTTGTTGAATTAATGGCTTCAGACTTTTCTAAATATAAAGTCACGGTGTCAAATTTAGGATGCTAGTTTGCTTTCTTTTCAAATTACACCACCTTCTCATCTCTTTCTAGCTAGCTACTATAAGTACATGCATGTAAACATATCCATGCATGCTAGTATCAAACATTTCAAGAGTCATCAAAACATGGCAATGCTGCTTCAAGCAAGAAGAATATTGGCACAATCCCTGCCTAGGTATAACTCAAAATCACCTCAAACCTTCGTTAAGTTGCTAGGATCGACGCACGGTTTGCACGATAATGCAACGAAAAGTAAGTTGTTCAATCCGAATGAGACGTCAGGGAAGGTCATTACTTGCAATGGTAAGAATTGCAACTGGGATTAATATTTTGTGTGTGATCTGATAGATTCAAATTTGCTTCGTTAATTCATTTTCGGTCATTCGTTGTTGTGGTGATATTCAAGCTGCTGTTGTCCGAGGTCCGAAACAACCTTTTCTTATGGAAACAATTCGAGTCGATCCCCCGAAGAAGATGGAGGTCCGAATCAAGATCCTTTACACTTCAATCTGCCATACTGATCTAAGCGCTTGGAAAGGCGAGGTAACATATATAACTCTAAGAAACCTTGATCTTTATCCAAGTTGATTCAATTTAATTGTCTGTACTAATCACAACAAAATTCCTGACGTTGTTGTTGTTCTAAAGAACGAAGCTCAGCGAGCGTTTCCTCGAATTCTAGGCCATGAAGCTGTTGGGTAAGACATGTTCCTAGTACTATTTGATCATTCAATGTTGTGTTTTCTACGTTTCATGTCCATTTTAATGAGGCTTGGATAAATTTTGCAGCTTGGTTGAGAGTGTGGGTGAAGGTGTCACAGACCTTAAAGCAGGTGACCATGTGATTCCAATCTTCAACGGAGAATGTGGCCATTGTCCCTACTGCACAACTAAGGCTACGAATCTCTGCCAAACTTTTCGTGTGAACCCATTCAAGAGTGTAATGCAAAATGATGGAAAGTGTAGGTTTTCTACCAAGGATGGAGAACCCATATTCCATTTTCTCAACACATCGACTTTCACCGAGTATTCTGTGCTTGATTCTGCTTGTCTTGTCAAGATTGATCCTGATTCTCCCCTCAAGAAGATGAGCTTGTTAAGTTGTGGTGTCTCTACTGGTAAGAAAAACCAAAATCCCTTTTGGTAAAGCCCTCCCTTGATCTTATAGCCAAATCTCCACCACCATCACCACCTCCCTTTCCTTTATAGGATGATCTTTGACTGAAACCTAAGTTACATTAATTTGCATTTTTAACTTTTCTTTTAGTAAGATAACAAAATTCTTGGAGACTCACTTTGGATGTGTATTTTTGGATCTTGGACATCTTAAAACGCTGATGAACCTGATAGGAGTGGGAGCTGCATGGAACACTGCCAATGTACAAACTGGATCAAGTGTAGCAATTTTTGGTTTGGGAGCCTTGGGACTTGCTGTAAGTTCATTTCCATTGATTCCTCTTGCTTGTTTTTCCATTTTCTTTTTTAACCTCACATGAGACGTGACTAGAGCATGCAAATGTGGCAAAGTTTTGGCCATGTTTGCTTCAAATTCTTCTGTCATCTGTCGGCACAAAAATACAATTGTCATTAATGTCTTCACTCAATTCTCACAGGCTTCAGAAGGAGCTAGAGCCAGAGGAGCATCCAAAATAATAGGTGTTGATATCAACCCAGAAAAGTTCAATAAAGGTATATCATTTTCCCTTTTTGGTTCTTCATATTTCTAATTCCAAAAAAAAAAAAAAAAAAAAAAAAAAAAAAAAAGAAGAAGAAGAAGAAGAAGAAGAAGCTACTAAAAGGAAAAAACTAACGTACCTGGTTTATGGCTACCTCTTTTGTTCTGGTTGCAGCCAAAGCGGTGGGAATGACAGACTTTGTAAACCCAAAAGATGGTTCAAAGCCAGTGCACCAGGTTAATTAGCAACTAAAATACATGGAGTTTTCTCCAGCTTTGATTGCTGATTTTGTGACTATTATTAACCATCGTAGCAAACGGTATTGCAGAGAATCAGGGAAATGACTGGTGGAGGTGTAGATTATAGCATTGAGTGCGCAGGCAATTTGCATGTTCTCCGAGAAGCCTTCTTGTCCACCCATGATGTAAGTCATAGATGGCATTTCATTGCTCTAATCTCACTCTTTTTTCTGTGTGAAACTGTTAAATGTATTCTCGAACTAGTTCGGCATCACTCCACCACCGAGGCTTGTCTCCGATGGTGAGCCTTGATGCTTTAACGAGAGCTTTTGGATTCAAGTCATCCTATTTAGGGAAATGAGACAGACTTCGACACAAAAGTTCCACTATAATGCTGACATGTGAGGATTTTGGATATTATGACAGGGATGGGGAAAGACAGTGGTAGTAGGAATTTATCCAACTCCAGAGTTGTTGCCTCTCCATCCAATGGAGTTGTTTGATGGTCGAAGCATCATTGGGACAATCTTTGGAGATTTCAAGGGCAAGAGCCAACTGCATGAGCTTGCCAGAGCCTGCACAAATGGGGTCAGTTTAACACAAAATTCTCCTTTATAAATGTTTGTACATAGAACTTTGAAGATATCAAAATAATGGAATTTCATTACGAGCATCCTTGACTTTGCTTCCAGGATGTGAATCTAGATGAGTTCATCACACATGAACTTCCGTTTGAGAAGATAAACGAAGCGTTCAAGTTGCTTGGTGATGGGAAGGCATTGAGATGTCTTCTGCACATTTGAGGTCTAGCAGGCAAGCACTTGAAGGCAAAACGAAGTGCACTGGGGAGCAATTTATTCTTTCTGAACATTTGTAATGTACATACATACAGAAGAAAATTGTAATTCATTCACCAATTTCAGACAATAATACCACCGTTTAAGTTGTGATTCTATGTTTGGGCAGCAAACTTACAATCCTCATAATTATCAGGTCTTGCCACCCTCTAAAATAACTATTGGAATAACATGGCAACATCTAGAGAAATCATATGAACAAATACATCCAGCATAAAAAGTTCTAAAAGAGAACAAAACCCCATCAAGAGGAGTTAGAAATCATCAATGTGGGGATAGAGGAGAACAAAAAGAACTTCAAATTGGGACCTTGATTTCGAAAGAGAAAAGGAGAGTCCGATCGCTTTACTGCATGAATATGTAGATGTGTTTGCATGATCGTATGAAGATATGCATGGTCTAGATACTAGCATATTGGTGCACAGGGTTCCAATATTACCCAATCATAAACCGGTAAAGCGAAGTTAAGGAGGATGAGGCCGGATGTCCTTATGAAGGTTAAAGAAGAGGTCATCAAACGAGTTTGAGGCATGTTTTCTCAAGGTGATCAAATACCCAACTTGGGTATCAAACATCGTGGTAGTTAGCAAGAAAATGGAAAGATTAGAATGTGTGTTGACTTTCGAAACTTGAACAAAGCCAATCCTAAGGATGATTTCCCCTTACCACACGAGTGACATGCTAGTAGACAATGTTGTAAAGAACTCTACTTACTCCTTCATGGATGGGTTCTCGGGATACAATCGGATCAAGATGGCGAGAGGAAGATATGGAGAAGACCACCTTCATCACACCATAGCGAGACTTATTGTTATAAAGTCATGCCGTTCGATATGAAGAATGCTGAGGCGACCTACTAATGAGCTATGGTCACTCTTTTCCATGACATGATGCATAAAGAGATTGAAGTATATGTCGATGATATGATTTTCAAGACGAAGCTTGAAGAAGATCACATTCGGACATTAAGGAAGCTATTTGAACGGTTACGAAAGTATCGATTAAAGTCGAACCCCGCCAAGTGTACTTTTGGGGTCAAGTTTGGAAAATTCGTCGTGTTTTATCGTGAGTAGTAGAGTGATAGAAGTGGATTCGATAAAGCCAAGGCCATCCAAGAAATGTCGATGCCCATGTAGTGAAAAGGAAGTTCGAGGTTTTTTGGGTCGGTTGAACTATATAACTCGATTTATCTCTCAACTCACGGTGACATGTGAACCTATCTTTAGACTTCGAGAAAGAACAATCCAGAAATTGGGATGATGCATGCCGATCCGCTTTTGATAAAATCAAGCAAAATCTATAAAACCCTCCTCTACCGATCCCATCGGTGCTTGGTTCGACCTCCGATTTTGTATCCGATAGTAACCGAGGCTATCGATAGGGCCGTGTTTTGGGTCGGCATGATGACACCTGGAAGGAAGGAGCAAGCAATTTACTTTTTGAGTAAGAAATTCACAGATCGTGAGTCTCGGTATAGTACCTTAGAAAAGATGTGTTGTGGCTCTGGTGTGGAGTGCCCGACGACTCGAGCAATATATGTTGTATTACACGACATGGTTGATTGTGAAAATAGATCCTCTCAAATACATCTTCGAGAAACAATATTTGTCAAGCGGAATTATAAGATGGCAAGTGTTATTGACAAAATACGACATTGTGTACATGATCGGAAAGTCGGTAAAAGGGAGCGCGATTACGGATCATTTGACAAAGAATGTAGTCAATGATTATGAATCGTTAGATTTTGACTTTCCCGATGAAGATATCATGGCATCCGAAGTTACGGTGGTAGAGTCGGATGATGAGAAATGGACCATGTACTTTAATGGGACGAGTGAATGTATCGGGTAATGGTGTAGGCGTTGTTCGATCTCGCCGGATGGGAAGCGATATCCAATAGCCATCCGAATTTGTTTTGATTGTATTAATAATATACGCGAGTATGAAGCTTGCATACACGGTCCGGAGGCGGCTAAAGAGAGAGGGATCATAAAGCTTGAGGTATATGGTGATTCGATGCCGATAATCTGTCAAGTAAAAGAGGAATGACAAACTAAAGATGAGAAGTCGAAGCCTTATCAAGTTTATCTTACCAAATTAGCCGAGGAGTTTGATGAAATTGAATTTGTTCATATGGGAAGAGACAAGAATCGGTTTGTCGATGCATTGGCCACTCTAGCCTCAATGACTCGACTTAATCCCGGAGTCAAGGTACGGGCCATTTGTATTGAGACTAGAAATGCACCGACCCATTGTTGTGCTATTGAGGAGGAAATAGATGGGAAGCCATGGTACCACGATATTTAGATGTTCGTTAAAAATCAAGAGTATCCTCCGGGTATCTCTAAGACGGATCGAAGGCCTTGAAGAGGTTGGCCATAGATTTTTAGATAGATGGTGAAGTGTTATACAAACGAAGTTTTGATGGAACATTGCTTCGATGTCCGAAAGCGATTGAGGCAAGGAGAGTGATTGAAGAGGTCTATGAGGGAATTTGTACAACTCATGCAAACGGTCACACTATACCCGTCGGATACAATGATGCGGATATTTTTGTTGACAATGGAAAGGGATTGAATAGAGTATGTTCGTAAGTGCCATAAGTGTCGAGTCTATGGAGATCGGATCAACGCTCCTCATGTTCCACTCAATAATATGGTATCACCTCGGCCTTTCATCATATGGGATTTGGATGTCATTAGGCCTATCAATCCAAAAGCAAGCAACGGTTATCGTTTCATCTTGGTGGCAATTGACTATTTTACCAAATGGGTTGAAGCTACTTCTTATGCTCATGTCACTCGGAAGGTGGTCCAACGGTTTATAGAGAAGAGTTTGGTTTGTCGGTATGGTTTACCTGGACATGATAATCATCGATAATGCTCAAAACTTCAATGGAAAAATGATCGAAGAATTATACAAAAGGTGGAGGATTAAACATCCGAACTCGACACCCTATCGACCTAAGATGAATGGGGCGGTTGAAGCCGCAAACAAGAATATCAAGAGAATCGTATAGAAAATGATTGTCACATATAGATAATGGCATGAAAAACTCTCATATGCCCTACATGCATACCGTACGACTATAAGAACATCCACGGGGGCAACACCATATTCTTTGGTTTACGGGATGGAGGCGGTGATGCCTTTAGAAGTAGAAATCCCTTCTCTTAAGGTACTCATAGAGATGCAATTAGAAGAAGCGAGAATGGGCTAGGATTAAATACGAACAATTGAACATGATCGATGAAAAGAGGCTAGCCGCTATTTGTTATGGAAGAATGTATCGAAAAAGGATGGCCAACGCATACAACAAAAAGGTTCAACCAAGAGAATTTCATGAGGGAGATCTCGGTGCTTAGGAAGGTTTTATCGATACCCGGGGAGAATATAAGCAAGTGGTCACCCAACTACGAAGGCCCCTATGTAGTGAGAAAAGCATTTTCGAAGGGAACACTCCTTTTGACTAGTATGGATGGGGAGAACATAGTCAAACCTGTAAATTTTGATGCAGTTAAGAAATACTATGCTTGAGGGTCGTTGTTTTTTTCTTCATGAAATAAAGAATGAAATTCAGAGCTAAACATGTACATTGCATTCTTCTTTCCATATCTCGTTTCCTCGACCTTATAAACACCTCACCTCTTTTATCATTTCATGATCTCTATTAATATTATAAATAACATGCAAGTCAATTAAGATAACGAGTGTTTTACTTAATGTATGGCAGAGCTCGATCTTCTCCCTAAAAAAAAAAAAACCCAATGAACCCTTGAAAAAGTTAGGATCTATATGCCTTTTGAATTAGAGCCACTTCAAACATATCAAGATTACTCCGGACTAGGGAAAGCAACCAAGATGTCAAGGTAGAGGTAATCCGGGTGAAAAAGAATGAGTACGTCTTATCGAGACTCGAAGCTCGTCATGCAACATGTAAAAAAAAAAAATAGAGCCAAAACCTTTTTCATTGGTACATGTCCCAAATTGCTCTTGTGGTATGAAACCGACATAGCAAATGTTTAGATTTGTAGGTCCTATCTTGATATTATTCCAAATAAAAAGGGTTCAAGAAAATAAAGCTCGTACAAATCGGATACTCGTTGTCGATAGGATGAGGAAAGGCCTTCTTGAGAATTTTATCATACTTATGTGAAACATATCTATTGAAAACCAAGTTTGAGCTTTTTATTTTATTTTTTTCATGAAACCCGGACTAGGATCACCCCTCATACTAGGGAAAAAAAAGATTTAAGAGTCATGTCACCAAATAACTTGTGATCTAAAAAACCTAAAAAGGAGTCACTACTAAAGAGGATTGGGAAGGAATGAGGAATAAGGTCATGATCTTTCCATGCACCTAAAAAAAAAAAAAACAAAGCTTCCAAAAAAATGGATCCTACTTCATTAGAGGAAAGATCATAAACACCAATCCCAAGTTAGGTTGACAAGATCACAATCAAACATGCCTCTAATCAAATCCGATTCAAAAAAAAAAATGGTCCTACGTCGAGCGAATCCTAAAACACTATTTGAGCCTATTTTATCCATTCTTTAAAAAATCATGCCTTAACCTACATTACGTACTAATAAAAGTCCTTTCTAACTAGAGACGAGTAATCGATCGGATGAGTATCGGATTCACGAGCCCCTACAAAAGAAATTTTATCGAACGGATATTCAAAATCGAAGCATAGGCTAGTCAAAATCATGGTTGGTGTCAATACTTGGGGGCAAACATTACCTTCTATCATCGAGCCTCGTGATTTTCCATCGTTAAAGTTCAGCATTCAAACCAAAGAACACCATTGTTTCTATCCTCAAAACATTTGTATGACAAGTCCATGAGTCCGATGGGTTTTACTCGACCTTTAAATCTAAAACCTCCGAAGAAAATCTACCTAACTTTCCCTAGGAATGATAAAATTCACGAAAAGGAGAATTGT